GACCATGGTTTAGACCGGTGTTTCCCACACTTTAAGTGCGGATGTATGTTCGGATTAAATAAACCAGGAGACAGGCCTTGGAATCTGCAGTTTCACAAGCTCCCACAGGATGCCAGGGCCGCTGGTCCAAGGGCCACGCTCTAAGCAACACGGTCTCAGACAGTTATCATTTCACATTGAAATGATACATCTTCTTATCTCTCTCCTCAGGGGACTATATGCTTTTTGAAAGCAAGATTGTTTCCTTTCTCATGTGTCCCCAGTGCCCAGCACATTGTTGTTGCTTAGCAAATGTTTACTGCATGCGTGCATGCATGAATGAATGAATGAGTGAGTGAGTGTGTGAATGAATCGTTCTTTGCACTATCACAGTGTTTTGCTGCACTGTGCATCAGTAACTGACGAATGGATGAATGAATGTGGTTATCCTTGATTCACTGCACAGACAGTATAGTGATAAATAAAAAATATTTTGCTAAATTTCACTAGAACAGGGACAAAAGAAGACTGGGAAGAAGTGAAAGGGAAGTCACTGTTTGAGAACGTAGGTGAGGCCCTGTATAAAGCTATCACATTAACACTAGAAACAGGAAGGCCATTCTGCGTGCTCCCAAGGGCAGGTCCCTGCAAGCTTTTGCTAGTGTAACAGCAAAGGATTGTGAACTCTCGAGCAATTTCTGGCTTCTACACAAGGGCTGTTCCAACATGTGTTTCTCTTTTTCTCTGCTCCTCTCTCCATATTTAAAAAATGAATACACAACCCTCAGATGGAAGCTATAGCTTTGAAATCCCATTCATCTTTGAGCAGCAAATTGTCAGAGCCAAGGGAAATTGGGAGCAGCTTTTCAGATCATGCTACAGATGGTGTGAAACCTGTGGGGACTACAGAATAAAGGAGGTGTCCTAGAAGGTGGGAGATCTTTCAGCCAGTCCTGATTTGCTAGAAGCAAAAATACAGTGTTCTTTCCTGGCCCCACCTTCCAGATATTGCCTTCATTAAGCTGTTCTCTTTAGCTTTTCAAGCGGAAAAGATGAGGACAGAAATTGGAGCAAGGGAGGAGAGAGTCTTGCTCCTTTATTCTCAGATACTCAGATGGTGCTCCTTTCCTGGATGAAGCCAGCCCTAGCTGGGTGTCAGAAGCTTGCAGAATGTCACTCACCCTGTGGCCAGCAGATTTGCCCAGGATTACAGACCCTAATCATGTTTGCTGAGCATCTACTATGGGCCTAAGTACAGATGTCAACACTATCTGCACTACATTGAATGGCCAAACAGAAGGCAATACTGTTGTGTCCCTTCATCAATGAAAGCACAGGTGCAGGCCAGTTAAGTAACTCACTCAAGGTCACAGTGGGTTGTGGCCATGGGATTGAGTTCACAGTCAGAGCATGAATTAGATTTTTTCATTTTGTTTTTTGAATCCTCACCCGAGGATATTTTTCTATTTATCTTCAGATAGAGTGGGAGGGAGGGAGAGAGAGAAATGTCTATGAGAGAAGGACATATCGAGTGGTTACCTCCTGCATGACACCGACCAGGGCTGGGGATGAACCGCAACCGAGGTACGTGCCCTTGACTGGAATCAAACCTGTGACTCATTGGTCCGCGGGCTGACGCTCTAACCTTCGCTGAGCCAAACTGGCCAGGGCAGATCTTTCCATTTTGAGTCACTATGTTCTCCATCACGGTGTTCTGCCTTTTGGGCTTTGGATTGGAGCCAGGTGTAAGAAGTTTCAGCCTAGCTTGGCCGGTGTGGCTCAGTGGTTGAGCGTCGACCCATGCAGCAAGAGGTCACTGGTTCAGTTCCCAGTCAAGGCACAGGCCCAGGGTGTGAGCCTGATCCCCAGTGGGGGGCATGCAGGAAGTGGCCAACCGATGTTTCTGTCTCATCGATGTTTCTATCTCCCTCTCTCTCTAACATCAGTAAAGAAAAAAATATATATTTTTAAAAGTTTCAGCCTAAAAGCATCTTGGGGCCAGGGTAAAAACAACAAAGAAATGGAGTTTAAAGGAACCATCTTCAGCTGTTTGCTTTTCCTCCCTAATGATAATTCAGCAAATATAACAAGTACCCAGTACACAGAAGTGGTATTTGCATTAGTAAAATCGGACCATAACTGGGAGGCTGGGAATAGATGACTGGAGGAGGCATTTCTTTCTTTTTCAAAAAAAAAAAAAATATATGTTTTTATTGATTTATTAGAGATAGAGGAAGGGAGAGAGAGAGAGATGGAAACATCGATGTGAGAGAGACGTCGATCAGCTGCCTCCTGCACGCCCCCTACTGGGGATTGAGCTCACAACCAGGAATCAGCCTGGGCCCTCAGTCCATGGGACCACGCTCAGCCCACTGCGCCACACCTGCCAGGCAAGGAAGTAATTCTTGTTTGTGACCAGGCTCAGTAAGCAGGGGCCTTGCCCCCATCGCTTGCCTGTGAGCCGGTTATCGGCACTGGTGACCCCTTTCCGCGCTCCGAGGCGCAGGGATAACTGCCGGTCTCTGCCACGATGTTAACAGGCCCGTTCCGATCCTGAAAGTGCCTCCGGGTCACCAAAGGACGATTCCATTACGTGGAGCAGAGCTTTATTACTCAGCGGAGCTCATCAGCCTCAGACTCTAAGAGACAAGGGTGACCCGTGCGTCGGTGCCCGGGCCAGGCGCTGGGTGGCTCCCGGACGCCCCGCCCGCTCCGAGCGGCCCACACCGGCGCTGGGGGCCCCGCGGAACTCCGGAGCGAACTGGTATTTCCACGCCCACTGATCATGTCTGAGTGGAGATTTTTACCTCTTTCCAACCAATGACACCTTGAGTCGGATGTCAACCGATTATATAGGCAGAGGTGAGTTTTGTCATTTGCATCATCAGAATAGTAATAAAAACTGCAGATTTGCTGGCTGCGCTGGAGAATGACAAGCAGACCATGGGTCTTGAGAGAGCAGAGGAGTCGCTCTGAGGACGACAGTATTACACGCTCAAGTGACTATGAATGATGTCCGCGATGAAAGGGCAGGCAGACTGCGAAATCCACCTTGGATGGCACCTGACTTCTGCCCTGACCGCGCCCCTGTCTGTGTGATGTTCCATCCACTCAGCCTTACCTTTCTCTTCTATTGCCGTGAGGGTTGTCTTCACCCCCTTCCTTCCTCTGCAGCTCTCCCCTCGCCCCTGCAAACACAGGCCTCGCTGGCCCCTCCCAGGCCCCTCTTACCTGCCCTCCAGGTCCTTGGCAGTGGAGAGATGGATGGCAGAGAGGATGGGGGAGCTCCGGGGGAGCCCGGTACGGCCACCCTCGTCCCCAGCCCCACTTCCTAGGCCCTTATCAGACGGGACAAGGCCCATGTGCATGCCTGCCTGGTATCCAGCACGTCTTAGGGACTACAGGAATGTCATCAAACGAATGGGTGAGGGCAAGTAAACCCAGCAGTGGTGGCCCCTTTCTTCTTCCTTCTCCTTTGCCTCCTTTCTCGAGCACTTTTGGAAGTTGGCCACTTGAGACAAAGAAGAACAGGAAATTCTCTCTCTGCTGACATGGAACGAAAGTGCTTCTTCCCTTCAGGCGCCCACCTCATCCCATTCTCCCTCCACGCTGGTGTACCCGGTGAGGGCAAGGGCAGGAGGGATGGAGACAGGGCCATGCAAAATCCCCAGTCTGCATTATCATACCCGGTCCACCCCTTGTCACTCCCCAGGTCCCCCACCCTTCTCCACTCCCACCCTCTTCTCCCCTACGCCTTCCCTCCTCACCAACACCCCGGACATCAACACCTGCACCCCTTTCCTCCCCTGTGCTGCCCCGCCCCCGCCACCTGACGACTACCAGTGCCCGAGGGTCGGGAGGTGGAGACTGTGCTAAAAGCCCAGTCAATCACAAGGCAGGAGGCATTTTAGAGGCTCCATCAGGGGTCAGGTTTTAAAAGCTCTCAAACCAGGTCTACCAAGCCCAGAGAAAAGGTAGTAACATATTTCTAAGAAGCCAAGCTGGGAGACACACACGCAGAAGCTGTGTTTTCCTGACTCAGGGCAGATAACCTCCCACGTGCTCTTGAGCCAGGTCTGGGTCAGGGTCCTGTGTGCTGGCCCCTCTAAGTGGGTGTGGGTCGTGGTGAAGGGAGGGAGGCTGCTGGGACCGTGGGCCACAGCGCCCTGCTGCCAGTAGCTCTCGGGGCTGTGATTTTCATGGCAGACACTGAAGGACAGGCCAGAGAGAAACGCAGGAGCCTCTCTGCCTTTGCCCAGGTGTCAGAAGCAGGCACGCTGCCATGTAGCAGAGGCAGCCACACCGCCGCAGGCTGGCATCCTCTCCGTGCACACGTCCCCACAGCTGGGCCGTCCATGGAACCAGCTCCGTGGGGAAGAGTCGCTGTGGCATCGTGGCCCTCAGCCTGCCGGACTGGATGCCGTTCAGACCGCCCACGTCAACATGGCACCTGAGCTCGGGTTTGGTTAGAAAATTAGCCATCTTCTTAAAGGAAGCTAATTTACACTTGGATCTGCCTTTTTATCAGGAGTGTGGGGACAGACCTAGAAAGACGGCTTGGGAAATGTGTCGAGTAGGGAGAGAAAGCTGACGTCCCGGAGATGGAGAAGGAAGGGAGAGTTGTAGGCGCACCAGTGATACGGGACAGCTGCCCTGGGGAGGGCCTAGCTGATGCCCTCATGGAGTGTAACTGGTTCTCGGTCCAGACAGAGAGCTCTGATAGCTTCGAGTGAACTCTTACACCCCAAAGACAGGTGGCACTGGCCATCATCTGAGAGCCAAGCCTTGGTGTCAGGCTACCAGGGACCATGGCCACCTTTGCATGTTGATCTTAGCTGACCAGGAGAGAGAGGGAGCTTTATTTATATGGTACAAAACACGGTTGCCTCTGCGGGGACATGTTTGAGGGGACTTCTCTCAAAAGGACCATGGCAGTGGCAGGCATCTGTCCAGACATCCCCTTCCTGACTCCGATGGGTGGGTGCATTGCGTTTGTAGTTATCTCTGCTTTTTTTTCTTAGATATGTGGAACTGACCAACTACTGCGACTACAAAGACTACAGGGAAACTATACTGAGCAAACCGATGCTATTCTTTGTTAACGTACAGACCAGAAAAGACACCTCAAAAGGTGGGTATCTAACTATTTTGGTGTGGTTCCGCCTTGCTGGGCTGTGGATTGTGGCCTGCTGATGGCAGAGAAATTGGGTGTGGAGGTAGCAGGGTGCATATCGGCTGGTGACAAGGCTGGAGCCAGAGGCCCGGAGGGTCAGGCCATCTGACGCACAGCAGAGCCTGCGGAACAAACCTCTGCAGGCGCCTGGCGCGGTCCATCTGTCTCCGAGTTTTCCTTCATACTTTCTGTGAGGCCGGAAGGGGGCTGACGTTCTGAGTTTGCAGGGGTTGCAGAAATGACGAGTGAGGACGATGAGGGTGGGTATTACTGTCTACATGGATGAGACACTAAGGTGTTCCAGGCTGGCTCTGACGCCGATCGGCCCCACAGGGCTCATTCAAACGGGAACATTTCTGAGCGTGAAAGGGGGTGCTGTTAAGAATTCTGCTGGGACTAACTCGGGCAAACCAGGATGCCTGGTCGCCCTACCTGTGGGGTACTTACAGTGTCCTCATGTTATAGAGGAAGAAACTAAGATTAAAAAAAATAAGCACCTGTAGATGCTTTTATGTCTCATGCTGTGATATTTGAATTTCAGTTTTAGAAATGTCTGTCTCTATGGTTTTTTCTAAGAAATCAGACTGGCTAGTAACAGCTTTATTAACTCAAACTCCAATATGAAAACATCTCAATTTCCCTTTCTTCCTCCTGCTCAGAGGGATACATGGGGGAAATCATAGACATAATGATAGAAATATAATTTCTGAAACCGATTGCAAAATCCCATTCTTAAAGTGAATCCAAGGTAATAAGAAAGGATCTATAGGTGCCAAAGAAAAGTACTTAAACATCCGTCTCATCCAGATTCCTGGAGTCGATTCTGCTCCTCTCTGTCAGAGCCATTCAGACTTCCCGCCCACTTCATCATTCAGTCCGGATGCCCTGGGCAGGAGGGGCCGGGGCGGCGCGCAGGACCTGGTAACGCCCGCCCGGTAGAGCACCTGAGCCCCCGATGCTGTTTGGCTTGATGATGGCCGGGAATCAGGAGAGCCCTCTCGGGATATAATTCACAGATGTATCACATGCACCTCCTGGTCCACCTCTCAGGAGGAAGCTTAAGTAAGAATAAGAGAGCTCTCTGTTTTAACATTTCAAGAAAGTGCAGGGAGTGGTACAAGGAGGTACGTGTGAGCGCCTCAAAGGTACACAGCTGTGTACAGAACTGGGTACAGAAACCCGGTGCTGGCTCATTGTGAGGAAAGCCACGGAATGAAGAGTCTGTGCTACAAATGTTTAATTCTGACGCGACATGTAAATTGTGAAGACTGTGATTAAGGTAGCATGATGTCTGGCCCTGCTGCTAGCCTGAACTGTACTTCCGTACAAATAGAAAAGGCCACCGTTAACTCAAGATGACTTACTAATTCTTCCCAGAAGTTGGTCACAATAAACATGCAAACAGCTGAGGTCTGTGACTGTGGACGGCCTTGTTCGAGCGGTGCAGCCCATATCCCCGGGGAGCGTGCTGGCCCTGAGCGTGTGCTGAGCCGAGAGGTCCGGGCTTGGTTTGTGTAAAAGTTAATTTAAAGTGTAAATAGCTTGCTTGTTTTGTTATATCTCATCTCAAAGAGGATGTAAAATAATTTATAGCTAAAGTGCCCAGCTCGGCCAGTGTGACTCGTGGTTGAGCATCGACCCAGGCACCAAGAGGTCGTCAGTTTGAGTCCCAGTCAGAGCACACGCCCAGGTTGTGGGCCTGATCCTCAGTGGGGGGCATGCAGGAGGCAGCCAATTGATATTCTCTCTCATTGATGTTTCTACCTCTCTCTCCCTCTCCCTTCCTCTCTCTCTAAAAAAATCAATAAAGAAATAAAGTATCCAAAAAAATACTTTGGGAGATAGACAGGGATAGGAAAACTAAGATGAAAAAGGCCAGTGTAAAGGTTAGTTCAAAATGTGTTCCTCAAGGTGTCACACCTGTTGTTGGTAGACCACAGGTTTGGGGCTCAAAGCCAAGGCAAAATGTTGAGTTCTCAAAATTGCCTAATGGCTGGTCCGTGGTGTTTAAATAGAGTCTGGCAGTCTATGTTCTGTCTCCCGAGAAAAAGCACTTGATTAATTAAGGGGTCTCTGGGGGCTGAAAAGTTAAGGAGTTACTGGTTAATAGTATTTCACATTTCCTAATGAGCAAACAACCTTGCCTTTGCTTAGATTATATAGGATTGGACAGAATTGGATTTAAGAGATTACAATAAAAACAAACAAAAGAACAAGAAAAGCACACACAAACTGAGACAACAACAAAAACCCAGGGATGCTAGCACACAGACATGACATTATCTGAGCAACGGGAGGGACTTTGTCTCCCCGCTGGGGATTGACGGAGGAGGGTCCGTCTCAGACTGACTTGATCCTTAGCACCCAGACCAGCCCTGTGGCAGAATGAAAGCCAGTGCTCGAGCAGAAGGGTTTGGGGAAGTGGGGAGGCAGGAGCAGCCTCCTTCCCTGGACTTGACTGAGTTTTTCTTTGCAAATGAGGACATGTTGGTGACCATCAGGTCGCTGCTTCAATATCCAGCAAGGCTGTGACATGACAACCAGCCATCCCGTGTTCCCACCTCAGCTCCCTGAGCCGCATACGCCCGTGGAGGCTCGGTTCTCCCCTCTGGTAATGACGGAGCAGACCTCCCGATGTCCCAGACAAAGGGACAAGTGCAGCCTCGGGGGGGCCTGCTTCCTTCACCTCGGAAATCTTTCTAGAAATCGGGTGAAGCTTTGCGGTGAGGGGGGCTAAAAATGAATAAAATCTGCAGATGAGGTGGGAATCACTGCGTTGTTCAATACTGAGAAATACATTTATGTCACCCATGCTCACTTCTTTTCGAATTCTGCTTCCGAATTTCTAGAAAGAACATATGCCTTCCTTGTGAACACCAGGCACCCCAAGGTAAGAAGACAGATAGAGCAGGGGATGGACATGGTCATTTCCTCGGTGATTGGAGAAAGCTACCGGCTCCAGGTGAGTGTGAGCCTGTCTGAGTCCGCGTCGGACCACCCAGGGAGGGGTTCGGGCACTTCATGCAGGGGGGCGTCCCTAAAGCTCCACTAGGACTTAGCTGGACCCAGACATCAGACTTTTCCTGTTGCATCATCACCACCACCAGTGAAATGAGCCCTTTCTAGCAGCTCATTAGAAATGGGGTGATAACGAATGTCAGCTTGACCGAGCACTTCTGTCGATGTAATATGATGCGCATGCATAGGTCTGTTTTGAAAAAGTTAAGGCAACTGCTTAAAAGTATCTGTCAGAATGAAAACGAAATAAGGGTGTAACATTTTGGACATTTGAGCAGTTATTTCTAGAATATGATTCTGTAGTAACAGAATTCTAGGCTCTAACACTGTCATTATATGCATGACATTCATCAGATGTTTCTCTCTCTTTCAGTTCGATTTTCAAGAGGCAGTAAAGAATTTTTTCCCTCCGGGAAATGAGGTGGTTAATGGAGAAAATTTGAGCTTTAGCTATGAATTCAAAGCTGACGCATTATTTGATTTTTTCTATTGGTTTGGGCTCAGCAATTCCACTGTAAAGGTGAATGGAAAAGTTCTGAATTTGTCAAGCACAAGACCAGAAAAGAAGGAGACAATTAAATTATTTCTGGAGAAAATGAGTGAACAGTTAATTCGCAGGAGCAGTTTCTCTGACCGAAAATTCAGCGTAACTTCCAGAGGTATGTCAAAGTTCTCATAGTTAAAGAAAAGTGTCGAATGGTATAATGGGAGAGGTAAGCCAGTCAATGAGAAAGGTAAGGCCTCTTGATGAAGGGGAAATAGAACATATTCCGTGATTCAGAAAGTAAGACGTGAGACATGTTTACTTCCCAAGTGAAACAGAGCAACTTCCTGTTTGCACTCCTTAAAGTTTCTTGACGTAGACGTTACATTGTGCAGAAAATAATTTTTAAAATATTATTAAGTCAAATACATATTGATGCTCACTTGAATGCTGTTAACATTTATTTAAATATTATGAAAGAGTGATGCTTTCCTGAGGTGCACATTCTGGACAATAGAATGTGGACAAAGGTGTCAGCTGGAGGAGGAGTCCACATGGTCGATAGCTATTAATTTTACATCAATAAGAAGAATTGGTTCTGCCTGGCTGGTGTGGCTCAGTGGTTGAGCATCGACCCATGCACCAAGAGGTCACCAGTTCGATTCCTGGTCTGGACACAGGCTTAGGTTGTGGGCCCGATCCCCAGTGGGGGGCATGCAGGAGGCGGCCAATCGATGTTCTCTCATTGATGTTTCTATCTCTCTCTCCCTCTCCCTTCCTCTTTCTCTAAAAATTAATAAAGAAAAAAAATTTTTTTTAAATTGGTTCTGGCCAGGTGGCTCAGTTGGTTAGAGCATTGTCCTTACACCGAAAGGTTGCAGGTTCAATTCCAGTCAGGGCACATACCTAGGTTGTAGGTTTGATCCCCAGTCGGGGTGTGTATGGGAGGCAACTGAATATGTTTCTCTCTCTCTCCCTCCCTTCCTCCCCACCTCCTTCCCTTCCTTTCTCTCTCTCTAAAACCAATAAACATATCCTCAGGTGAGGATAAAAAAATTGGAAGGGTTCTCCAGGGTTTGTAAGATGACACTGCATGAATGACATATTTATATGTGGCACATTTGGGATTCTGACACCCAGGGTCTCCTCCCAGGAGCCGAGGAGACTTGTCAGACAGGGTGGCCAAGCGGAGGGCGAGCTCATGTCTTCTCTGGGCCATTTTCTTTCTCCTGTGCCAGTTGGGCTGGAAAGCAACTTCCTTGAACCAGGACTTTTGCTGCTAATTCCAACAAACAGACAAAAGCAAACAAACAAAAAACCACCAGTCTCTATGAACCTACAGTTTTCAAAAAGTCCAAATGTGAAACACAGAATCGTCATTAATTGTATTTAGTAACAGTGGCTTTCTTCTGATGTTTTCAGCAAAAATGCTTACCCTAGCTGTTTCCTACCTTGGAAGTAGCGGCTGTCTCTTTTTCCTTCTCTCTCCCTCCTCATCCTCCTCTCTCTTTCCCTCTCTTCCCTCCCTCCACTCTCTCCCTATGTCTACCTCTCCCTCCTCCTCCTCCTCTTTCTCTCCTTCTACCCTCTCCCCCCTCTCCTACGCCCCCTCTTCCGTCTTTCTCCCCCTCTCTCTTCTCCCCCCTCCCTCCTTCCCTCCATGTTGCTTTAGCTTTCTGTGTGGTGTTCCTTACAAAGATGCCTTTGTGCCCTGCTCCACTGTAGCTATACACGTGTGTGTACATGTATGAGTGTGAGTATGTACATGTGTGTGCATGTGTGTCTGTGTGTGCCTGTGTGTGTGTGTGTGTGTGTGTGTGTGTGTCGGGGGTGGGTTATGCTGATTTTTGGGGGGAGAGCGGCTTGCCAGGTTGTGGCTGTCCCAGTTGCCTGGTCCTTCCTGTGACACCCTCCAGCCTCACCCACCACCACAGCAGCCTGGGTGGGGTTTACTGCTTCACCATCGCCACCCTCTGTCCTGTAGGCTGCGCAGGGTGTCCTCTGCCGTCCCGGGGACACCAGAGGCAGGTGAAGTTGGGCAGTGCTTTCTTGAACTCTACCCTGAGTCAGCCCTGGGCCACTTGCACTCCAGAGCAGTGGGGAAGAGTTCTTCAAGGCTGGCCAGAGCGGTTACTATGCATGGCAGAGGGCACAGCCAAAATGCATCAGTGACCTGGCAGGTGCATCAAACCCCGCCTCCGCTGGCCCTGCCTGGGGGTATCAGTCAGCCCAGCTCCACCCCCTTCTCAAAGCCTGGCCTTTGTCCTGGGCTGTCCCACTGTTGGGCCTTTGGTCATCAGTGATAAAGGGTTCATGGCACTCACTGCAAATCTCCAGCCCATGGAAAAGCAAAGGGTAACCCAGGTGCTACTGCTAAACCAAATGCGACCCATCTCTATTGAGCTCCTGAGTATTTCTAAGGACGCTAGAGTCTCTCTCCACTGTTGAAATGGTTCCTTGAATTATGTACGGGCTCCAAAGGCGCTGTGGGTTTGCTGCTATTCTCCAGTGATGGTGACAATGCCTGTTCACTTCTTTCAGGCTCAGTAGATGACGTCTTTAACTGCAGCCTGTCACCCAGATCATCCTTGACGGAGCCTCTTTTGGCAGAACTGCCATTTCCAAGTGTTCTGGAATCTGAAGAGACACCTAAGCAGTTTCTCTGATTGGACTGATGGCCTCGTTCCTCCTCCATCCAGGCCAGCTGAAGGTGGGAGGGAGGCAGGATGAGGTGGGAGGCAGGCCTTCCATCCTCTGGTCCACCCTCTGCTCCTCGGAGCGCTCCCGTCACATCCTGTGGGTGCCACCCTGGCAGGCCCCCACAGCTGACCTCAGGATGGGAGGGCACTGGCCCTGTGGCCAAGGTAACCTCTCCTTTGAACACTTCTCCAAAGAGGCAGAGGGCCCGGTGGGTTCTGCCATCCTGAGTGCTTTGCGTAGGACCTTGGCATTCTAGGAGAGCCCCCAGTCTGCCTCGGGTGTTGACAGTGTCGCTTCACAAATCAGGGTTTGGCCCTCTGCTTGGGACATCCTTGTCTGAACCCGAATTCCACTAGCATGGGGTTAGCCGTGCTGCTCTCTTGCAAACTTGGCTGGGCAAGAGCCTCTGACACCTTTCACTGGAAGGTGAGTGTGTTTCTCATCCTGCCTTAGGAGAACCATTCCAGGTAAGGTTTGCCGGGACTGGCCTGGTTGACAGGATGGCAAGCCCGCCCCCTGGTGCCTAAAATTTGAACTCCCTTGGCCTCCCTCCTAACAAAGTGGCCTGTGTAGGAAGAAGCCAGGTGATGTGCAACCAAACAGTGACAGGGGATGAATAATGATTACAGCAGTGTCCTCTTTATTGAAAGCACCTTATGTCAGTTGGGTATTTTTTGTACTTTTTTATTGAATTTATTGGGGTGACATTGGTTAATAAAATTATATAGGTTTCATGAGTACCATTCTATAATACATCATCTGTATATTGTATTGGGTATTCACCACCCCAAGTCTTCTTCCATCACCATTTCTCCACTATACTAGTTGAGTATTTTAGATAAGCTTTTAGCAATCCTAACACTAAAAGCAAAATTAAAAAAAAAAGCTATGACATTACCACAGTGCATTGTTCTATCAATCCACTTCTCACCGCATAGCTACAATGGAGTTCTTCAAACAGAAAAAAAAAATTCGATCTATATATAAAACTTGCATGAATGAATCACTCCATATGCTTCTAATGAGGAAGACTTATGGGTCCTGAGTATCATTTTTCTGTCCTTTAAAAAACAAGTCCCTGCATTTCAATAGCACTACCGATTGTCTTTTCTTTTATATTTGAAATGGTATGTACTATCTTTGTGCAATTAAAACTTTACCACTCAACGCAGAATTAATTACATTTGTGACCAAGTGTGTGTGTGTGTGCTCTTTCCAGTGTGCCTTGTGTGTCTGCCTGGGATCTTACTAAATTACAAGGGGGACCGTGGTCTTCACAGCCGCTGTCCAGGGCCTTTGAGGAGCTGGGCTATGCAGTATTTGGAGAAAAGACAGAAAATCTGATACGATCTTTCAGAAAAGAGAATGCTTCTGAGTTAACAGAAGAGGATAAACAGTCTCTAGTCAACTCAGTCCCAAATGACGAGTATTTCCAATAAAACACATTTTATGCCAGGACAAACCAACCTTGGGTGAATATCAAATATTAAATGCTTTCCAAAGGAAATAGAAACCATTTGCAAAAGTTGACAAAGAAGATTTTTTGAGAGTAGCTGAGTTAAGAAAATCCATCAGTAATCACTCCAGGAATGAACTAAAAGGTTGGGGAGTTTTCTTTTATTTAAAAAAAAAAGTGCCAATCAAGTGCAGTCATTCATTCAATATTCACTCAGCAAAATTTCATCGACTGCCTATAAGGAAATATATACCATGCTAATGTATTTTACTAGTAAATGTCATGGGGAAGTGATATTGGGCAATCTTTAAAATGGAATCTTCCTGGGTAAAAGCAGCCTCAATCTGGGTGTAAATGACCAAATTCAGAAACTTTAACAGTTTAAGATCAATAGAAATCTATAGGACAATAGTAACCTAAATGGTTCATCCATTCAACCTGTTCATTCATTCATTCATTCATTCAACACATCTGACTGAGTGCCTACTACGTGCAGTACACTGAGGGGCTGCCGGCACATAAAGGTACCTAAAGTGTGGCCCAAGCTTTCAAGGACCTTCCAGTCCTGTAAGAGAAGACAAGCTGTGGAGAACAATAAAATAAGTGCTATGAGATAAGTTCAAAATGGAAAACATCTACAATGTTTATGATCCAATTTTGGAGATGAAATTAATGATGTATTACTGTAAACTTTAGTTTTAAAAAAAGTCTGCAAGGGTTGATTTATCAAAATGACTGATTTAGCTAAGCTCTCAGTGAAAGTCACCTTGGAGGCTAATATTTATTTTAACAAGAATGCAAATCTAGCCCCGGCCTGAGGATCAAAGGGTTTTAGGTTTGATTCGGGTCAAGGGCACATACCTGGGTTGCAGGTTTGATCCCTAGCCCCAGTTGGGATCATGCGGGAGGCAACCAATGGATGTGTCTCTCTCTCCCTCACTCCCTTCCACTCTCTCCAAAAATACATGGAAAAATATCCTTGAGTGAGGATTAACAAAAATTAGAATGTAAATCTGGACATTATCTACAGATGAGGGAGTTTTCTTCTCATTAGCTCAGGGTGAAAGTTTGATTCTTAGCTAAAGGATAATATTGCTCAAAACGACTTTCTACTTTAATTATCAACTGAAATATCATTTTGCCATTTCAAATAATCTATCGTCAAAGAGCAAAGCTATATCCCTACTTAAGAAATTCAGAAGAATGTGTGTCCATTTATAAAGGGAACCTCTAAAGAATTCAAAAATGCTTTAAGCAATGACAATGTCATTAAAATAAATGATTACTTTTGAAGAAGAGTACATTTATTTGGATGGGTAAATGCTGGTATAGCGGATTTAAAATGAGTGGTTGCACTTGATATTCATCACTTGAATAAACTTTTATAAAAATTGAATTTATGGGGGTGATATTGGTTCACAAAACCCTACAGGTTTTAAGTGTATAACCCAATGAAACATCATCTGCACACTGCATCAAGCACTCACCGCCTCCTCCCCCCCCCCCCGCCCGCTCCCCTCCCCCAGCTCCCTTTCCCTCTGGCCATCACTGTGCCATTGTCTGTGCCGATGTGTTATGTGCATATGTTTTATTTTTTGCTAAACTCTTCATCTTCTTTTATTAAGTTCCCCTCTCCCTGCTCCCCTCTGACAGCTGTCAGTCTGTCCCGTGTATCCATGCCTCTGTTTCTGTTTGTCAGTTTATTTTGTTCATTAGTTTCCACATACAAGTGAGATCGTATGGTATTTGTCTTTCTCTGACTGGCTCATTTCACTTAGCATAATACTCTCCATGATCATCCATGATGTGGCAGAAAGATTTCCTTCTTTTTCATGGCCATGTAGTAGTCCATTGTGTACATGTACCACAGCTTTTTTACCCACTCATCTACTGATGGACACTTGGGCTGTTTCTAGATCTTTGTTATTGTAAATAACGCTGCTATGAACATAGGGGTGTGTATATTCTTTCTTATTGGTGTTTTAAGATTCTTAGGACGTATTACCAGAAGTGGATTGCTGGGTCAAAAAGTAGTTTCATTTATAATTTTTTGAGGAAACTCCCTTCTGTTTTCCACAGTGGCTGCGCCAGTCTGCATTCCCCCGAACAGTGCACAGGGGTTCCCTTTTCTCCGCACCCTCGCCAGCACTGCTCATCCTGGGCCAGCCCCCTGAACCTGTCTCCAGCGCCCTCCTTCCTCTGACTTCCCAGGGAGCAAAGCAGCCCCGCCGGGCTCTCCTGCTGTTCGTCTCTAAGCCCTTCCTCGCCTCACTGCCCCCAGCTCTAATGAATGTGTCCTCGTAGTCACCGAGACTCATGCTGTGAATCTTACCCACACGAATTTAAGAACCACACACCGCCCACTAGCCCTGGGCCGACCTGCTAGGGCCCAGTCCCCTTTCTGGTAACAGCGCCTCCCCGTCCAAGGCATCAGGGAGAACTCAGCTCAGACATTTCCTCTTCTAGAACAGCCTCCCCCAGCTCCCATAATGCCCAGGGCTTCGCCCTTAATGTCATCATGCAGCTCAGCTCCAGTGCGTAGTAGTCGGTATTTGTGAAGGGAAAGAAGAAAGGAAAAACGTTCTGCTTTATCATTGAAAGGGGCTGCCTCAAGCAATCCAAACTCAAAGGCAGGAGGCCTCCTACCCTGTGCTGTAGTGCTCACAGTAAAATGAACCTGTCCCCAAAATCCATTTCAAAGTAGAAATAAATGATAAAAAGAATAGAGATCAGAATAGTAGTGATACCATTGCAATAACCGGATTGTTTTTAACAGGAAGGGAGTGAAGGGGAGCCTGGATAACACAGGCATGGCATCGATACAGCCTTGCCAGAAAGCTGGAGTTAACACTCACCAAGTCTGTTCCCTGCGGGTTGAGGGGAAGGGACTGGACAAAGGCAATTTAGAAACATGCCCAGTAAGGTCTGAGTGACGTGGGAAGGTGCTTTACCTGTCTGTCACACCTGGCAACAAATCAGTGGCCAGAATAGGTGTGGCCACTGTAAGCACACAAAAGCTGAGATACATAATCCCCTACAAAGGAAGTTCTCTCTTCCTCTCTCTTGGCACTCTGCCCTCCTGCCCTCTTGGGACTCCTGTTGCAGGGGGAGTGTTCCCCTACATTCACCATGTGGCCCACAGCCATGTGGATGCCATATGGTGGACTGATGAACTAAATCTTGCCTGATACTGAACTGAATCCAGTTGCAACATGGAACAGAAACTCTGGACACTGGCCCCATTTCTAGCTCTGCTAAATCCATAGTTTCCCCTTTTCCAAAAATGGAGTAAGGGACATGGGACTTTACCACCCAAGGGATATAATCCCATGCCAATAAAAATCATTCATTCTCTTGCCCTGGCCGGTTTGGCTCAGCGGTTAGAGCGTTGGCCTGTGGTCCTGAGAGACCCGGGTTTGGTTCCCACTAAGGGCATATACTTTGGTTGCAGTTTGTCCCTGGTTTGGTCATGTGGGTGGCAACCACTCAATGTGTCCCTTTCACGTCAATGTTTCTCTCTCTCTCTCTTCCTCCCACTCTGTCTGAACAAACAAACAAACAAACAAACAAAAAACAAAAAAAAACGGAAAATGTCCTTGAGTGAGGAAAAAAAAAATCATTAATTCTCTCATGCAAGACTGAGAACATTCCTTTTCAAAAAATATCTCAAGAGCTACCCCACGACCATGAGTGTCGGGGAAGTCTGGCCCATTTGTTTCTCCTGCAACAGTAGTAAGACAGAGCAGTAAGACCTTAGGTTTGTGTGGCTTTACAATTTATAAATTGTTGTGAGAAGTATTCATTTTTACAGCCTGGAGGTGGGTACTAGTAGACTCATTTTACAGAGGAAGAAACTGGGGCTCAGAGAAATTTCTGCTTTAGCCCAAGCGCCCCTAGGCAGAAAGTACAAGGAGCTCTCCATTCAGTGTGAACCCCACCATTTCTCAACTTACCCAGGAGGAGACAAATCATATTAATAAGAATTTGCTGGTAAAATTCTATATACTCACTGCTCTATTTTTAAAACTACATTTCTCTTCAATTATGTTATGGTAATTAGCTCTCTGTTTCCAGATGTTATACTCTGTTATTGGGTGTTACTTTCTTAATTTAGATGCCACTACTAAATCCTAACTTAGACTCATTCCTTTCAATAACATCAACAGCAGTCTTTGCCTTCTAATGTGTTCCATCATTCACTGCTATGAAATTTGAGAGCCTAGAGTGTGTTCTATTCATTCCATTATATTGACAAGACTCAAGTCTCAGAACATGCTGGTTTAGATCATAATTTTAAAGAAATTTCCTGCATATATACTTGGAATCCTTCCTTTGATGCCTATTCTGTGTCCTTTGGCAAACCTCTTTCATTCAACTGCACTGTTCCCCTAAGGTCCTATATTAGAATAACCCTTTAAAGATAAGGAATGGTGTAAATTACTTTCTAAACAGGCTGCCAGCAGTCTCCACTTACTGTCTTCTCTTTGCATCCACAGGTGGGAGGGGGGGATAGCTGTGTCCTACCCTGGAGGCATCAATGTTACTAAGCACCTACTATGTGTCAAATTACCAGGTGGCTGCCAGGAATATGAAGATAAAACCCTCCACATCCTGGGAAAACTGTAACATACATGGGGTGAGAGACACAGTCTCAGATGCAGGGTCAGAAGAAAGACAAAACACATGGGGCATGGCGTTTGGGGAGGATGGTGTCACAAACTTGCCTGCTGGCTCCTGTTCCCAAGGACACAGTTCACCCTCCTGTCCTCTCCTCATTCCGGTTGGGGATGACCTGCCTGGGAGCATGAGATTACCTCAGGAACCCTGGTTCTGGTTCTACCTACAGGAGACTCCTTGTGACTGTCCTCTTGCTTGGTTTCTACTTATTGCAAAGTTCTGTGACAACTTCACCCTCTTTTGCTTAAGCTGAAAGCTATGAATAAATGAAACTTTGCGGCTGAAAATCTAACAATGTCTCTTTCTCTTCCATCTACTCCCCTTTTGTTCCTGTCCCCAGATACACAAGACAATGTTTCAGAAAGCTATACAAATACTTGAAAGCCAGGCATCTGTAATACCGGACTCACATCTCCTTGCTTTCCACACCTGGCCCCCAGCCACTGCACAGGTTCGCTGGGGCTGAGCGCAGCACAGCTGACCCGTGTCTCCATGGCGACGCGTCACAAAGCGTGCAGCGCCCCAGGACGGATGGGCTGGAACAGGCCCTGGCACTGCCTGCTCAGGCACGGATGGCGCAGCCCGGGCCCGAGGCCCCGCACCCCTGTCAGTGGGGCCGCAAGATCCGACCAGGTGAGACGGTGGACCCTGCCAGCCGGCGGGGGTGGGAGGGGTCTTTCCTGGAGATGGGGTACACTAGAGCAAAGGCTGCTTTGGTTTTTAAGGGTGTCCGTCTCTCCCTCACGGGTGGGACTCAACTTAGGAGAGTCCGAGAGGGAAAGTGAGAGGGCGTCCACGACCTTGCCTCTGTCCCACCCTTCAGCGTTCTTTCTGCCGACCCCCTTCTAAACGCTCCGGTGCTTTGAACACCCCAGGAAAGGCTTGGCGGGGAGCCGGGCCAGGAAAACGGAGTGCTTTGCCAGGAGGAAAAGCCCAAGACAAAGCGGGAAGAGAGGTCGGGAAGCTCTAAGAAGGCAGACCCGGGAGGAGGCTGGATTCCCTAAGAAACAGCGCGGGGAGAGAGCCCAGAGGTGCAGAATTTGGCGACAGGGCCCCCAGGGCGATCCACAGAGGCTGCGTGTCCATCGCCCCTCCCCACCAACACACACTCCTGGCTGTAGCAGAGGCTGATTATTATGGTCTTCAGCTGTTGCTTGTACCCTTTGCTGATTTTTCTTTCAAAGTGATTTTGTATTTAACAGATGCAGTGCTTTAAAAACTAATTTTGCCTGCAAATATGGCAAATTTACTAACTCAGCTTTTTGTGTCCGTGAGGGGAGAGCCACTCTACTGCGATGCTGGTGGCATGAATTACTGTAGTCAGCTCCATCCGGGTGCTCCTCATGGCAATAACAACCCCTGCAGCCTCTAGCTGGGTCAACCTGGCCCCTCGGTGGCTACAGAGCAAATTCCTTGGAATTGTAGTCTCACGAGAATGAATGAAATGCGTTTTCCATTCCATTCGCTCTCTTTGTAAATTGAAGATAGAAAATGAAAATACTTAATTAAAGGCACAAAATATGTAAAACATCCAGTTTCCATATGGTGGCAGGGTAAAGAGGAGGCACCCTGACTTGGTTTCTTTCACTGTCTCCTCTTCCCTTCTTGTCGAAAATGTTGGCTCCTCTATCCCTGTGTACCCTCCTCCGTTTACATCCCTGTGAGTGGTCATCCCTGCCGCAGGGCTTCGAGTCCATGGAGATGTCGATGGTTCTCTAGTCTTCAGGCTACCTGGGCTCTTCCTCCTACTTTTCAGACTGAAATATTCAGCTGTCTCCCAGATCCATCTGGATGTCACGAGGGGCCTCAAACTCAGCATGCACAAAATTATTCTCCTGTCCTGGATGTTGCGAGCTCAGTTAGGAGGGTCCCAACCGCTCGGAATAGAAGGAAGGGCAGCTTTGTTGACACCTTGATTTGATCACCAGTTCTCATTCATTCTCTCCAGAGTTCCCTTCCCTGCGTGTTTCTCTCCACATCCAGTCAGGTCTCATAGCCACTCTGTGCTACTCCATCTTCCCTGCCAGACCCCTGCAGAAGGTGGGCCTGAGGTGTCACTGCCTAGCTTTGCCCCAGATAGAACAAGGTGGAGGATGACTGCTATGGGCTAACTACTGCTACTGACTTATTACTAGAGATTGAGCTCTGAAGTGTGTTACTTCCAAGGACTGCCACAAGTTACGACAAACTCGTGGCTTAGAACAGCAGACACTTACTCTCTCACATTTTGGAGGCTGGAAGCTTGAAATTAAAGTATCGGAAGACTACGTCCTCTGGCCAATCTCGGGGAGAACCTTCCCTGGAATCCTTGCCTCTTCCAGCCTCGGGTGGCTGTCGCATGTTTCATTTTCCAATCAAGTTAAATGATAACTTCTTTGAAGAGCAACGCCTTCTCCCAATGTCTTCCCACTTCCTTGCCCATGCTTGGAGATCTCTGAACGTAAGGCATTTAATTCTGCTGTTGGGATAAAATGCTTTCAAGCATAAAATGATTCCCACTAAAGCAGGAGGACCAAAGGATAAGGTCATTTCTCATGCAGTGGATGGGAGCGTAGACACCAGGAGGCTGTGAGCAGCCGTGTGGACAGTGACACGGAGGACTAAGGCTTTAGTTGACTGGGGAAGCCTCGTGGAGGCGAAACCCAGCCTGTGTGGAGGCAGCAGGGAGATATTTACAGATGAGCAGAGCCCCCTGGGGCTGGGCACATGGGCCTGTTCAATGAAACACAAGCCCCAGTGGGAGAGGGGGTGGTGAACAGTAAGAAGTACACAGGCGGCAAAAATGAAATGTTTGGTCGGGCCTCTGTAGGCTCAGCGGTGGCATACAGACTTTAAGAGTATTTATTTAATCCTCACCCAAGGACATTTTTCCATTTTTGTTCAGATAGAGTGGGAGGGAGAGAGAGGAAGTGAGAGAGAGAGAGAGAGAGAAACATCAACGTGAAAGGGACACCTTGAGTGGCTGCCTCCTGCACAACCCCAAGCAGGGCCAGGGACAAACTGCAACCAAGGTACGTGCCCTTAGCGGGAACTGAACCCAGGACTCTGGTCTGCAGGCCAATGCTCTAACCGCTGAGCCAGGACTAAGAGTATTTATTTATTTTTGTCCTCACCCGAGGACATTTTTGCATTTATCTTCAGATAGAGCGGAAGGCGGGGAGAAGAGAGAAACATCGATCGATGTGAGAGAGACACATTGACTCGGGGCGGGGACAAACTGCAACCGAGGTGCACGCTCTTAGCAGGAACCGAACCCAGGACTCTCTGGTCTGCAGGCCCACGCTCTAACCGCTGAGCCAGACCGGCCAGGGCCAGACTTCAAGAGTATTTGAACATAGAAGCAGCATTTTAGAAAGATTCTCGGCAGCCATTGTTTAGGACGAGTGAGGGGGCAAACCCACACGAAGAAGCGGCTCCAGTGTTCCAGAGGGGCGAGGACGGACCCCAGACAGCGGTTTATTCAAACATTAAAGGGCACTTTCAACCTCGTTTCTACTGGAATGTAAAGAGCAGCAAGAAACTGCCCAAATATGAAGAATGAGAAGGACTGAATTGAATGTAAAATACACATACCCAAGAAATGCTGCAGTGCTTTGTTGACAACGGGCGGGAGGGGCGGATACAGTCTCTCGTTGCTAGTGTCTGCCTAATGGTGAATTCTCAGGCCGCATCTTCCTGGACCCAGCCAGCAGCATTTGCCGTAGGTGACCACCTCCTCCAGCAGATACTTTCTTCCTCTGGGTTTCAGGACATGCTCCTGGATTTCCCCTCCTCTTATCTCGCTGAATGCGCTCAGTGTCCTGTCCTGGCTTCTCCTCCCCCACCCCGACCTCCTGACGTTGGGATGCCCCAGGCTTCCTTCCCGGTTGGTCTCACCCACTCCCAGAGCTTTAACAACATCTGCACCACAGAACCTTGCAGTCATTACCAAGAATCAATTAGAGTTACACCGGTTGAGTTTGAGGGTTGCCCTGTGACACTGTTATATGACAGAAAAGAAAAGGACACTTTGTGGAATATGAGCCCATTTCTTTCTTTTTTTTTACTTTTTAATTAAATTTATTGGGGTGACATTGGTTAATAAAATTACATAGATTTCAGCCCTGGCTGGTTTGGCTCAGCGGTTGAAGCATTGGTCCACGGACCAGAGAGACCTGGGTTCGGTTCCCGCTAAGGGCAAGTACCACGGTTGCAGTTTGTCCCCGGCCCCAGTTGGGGTCGTCTGAGTGGCAACCAATCGATGTGTCCCTCTCACATCAGTGTTTCTCTCTCTCTCTCTTCTTCCCTCTCTCCCTCCTGCTCTATCTGAAGATAAATGCAAAAATATCCTCCGGTGAGGATAAAAAAAAAAATTATATAGATTTCAGGAGCCCATTTTGTAAAAAAAAAAAAGGTGAAATCAAAAGTTGTCAGTGTATTTATACATGTATATGTAAATCGGTATATGATTACATCAGCAGGTATAAAAGTCTGGAAAGAAGCAGGCACACTTGTTAACATGAGCTACCTGGGAGGAGGGACACGGAGGCAGGTGATAATGAACAGGGAGAAGGAGTGAGGAGAAGGTTCCATAATGAAATCCGACATAAAAACTCTGAGCCCCTGTGTGCACAGTAATGTCACGTGTTTACAGGTTTGTCTAATGTGATACATGAAAAGGTCGTCAGCAAATCAGAAATAGTGAGCATTTTAAGATGATAGAATTTCAGATAAACTTTCTGCTTTGTATTTTTACACATTGCTTAAAGTCTTTATAATAACATGAATGAATTCTCAAGAAAAACCATATTTTAGCCCTGCCTGTTTGGCTCAGTGGTTGGAGCGTCGGCCTGCAGTCTAGAGAGACCCGGGTTCGGTTCCCGCTAAGGGCACGTACCTCGGTTGCAGTTTGTCCCCGGCCCTGGTTGGTCGTGCGGGTGGCAACCACTCGATGTGTCTCTTTCATATCGATGTTTCTCTCTCTTCCACTCTCTCCCTCCCACTCTATCTGAACAAAAAATTTAAAAAATGTCATCGGGTGAGGATTAAAAAAAAACAAAAAACCATATTTTATTTAGGGGAAAACTCAGATAATTAAAATGAGCTTTGTCTCCTAGTAGAGACCACAAGTTGGCCTTTATTCCTTTTGACTCAAAATTACCATCCAAAATGTTTTTCTCTTGCAAAATTATCTCAATTATTAAAACAACATCTGATCAATACGTGTTGGTCTGACCCATTTACAAGTGTTTTGTTGTACTTTAGCAGGTGATGCCCACTGGGACTCCTATGCCACCACCATGAAGACTGCGTTCACGCCCAAGATGGGAACAGTGCCTGCTTTAATTCGGTACATCCCTGCTAGAGTCATACTTTAGTTTGTTTGCTTGTATTCTGTTATTCAGAATTCTAAACAAATAGCAAGAGTAACCAAGAGGGCTTATGAAAAATGCACTCAGGTGGGACCTACTGCTTGCACAGTTCTCCTCCAAGCACCAAGGAGAGTTCCCCTCCCCCAAACCTCCTGTGGGAAAACTAAGAAAACAGACCCATGGATTCTTCATCAAGTTACCGTGCGTCATAGTTGACAATAGAGCCATAAGTAGGTTAATAAAATCGTGCTGCCTAAACAATGACAACGGAATGAATGGATGAACAACCACTTGTTAGCATGTCCGTCAACACTAGTCTTGGAAGCCGGAGTAAGGCACAGTCCCCTTACCCATACGGTCACTCCTCTATTTTTTACTTCCTAAAGCGATATTGGTTAGCAACTTCTCCAGTTCCACTTGAATGGCGGGAGGTGGGAATTTCTACCCATCGGCTGCTTCTCTGAGCTTATTGGCGGGTGAGTGAGAGTGGGACTAGGAAAGCCCTGGCATCTTGCTTGGCATCAGTGGTAGGTGGGACAGTAACGTGGAGACACTTCACTTGCCTGTGTTTACTCTGTGAATTTTCCAATAAAGAGGATCTTTCACCTTAAAAGTTCAAATTATTGAGAAGTCAGAGAGTACTGGCAAGACCGTGGCTATGGAGTCAGGCAGAAATGGATTCTAACTTCAGCTCCCTGCTCTAACTTGTGTTATCTCAGCCGCCCGAGGCAAACAACAAGCCATCTGTGGCCCCGCGTTATGGTTGGTGTTGGTTCTGAAGACAGAATGAAAGCACGAGCACAATGACTAGAGCTAAGAAGTTCCAAGGGCCGCAAGACTGGCTATCCCAGTGAGTCACGTACTGACAGTAACCATTCTGCCAGCTTCCCAGTCAGTTATGGTTGTCCGGAGAAGAAATATTTGGGATGAAAGCCAAAAACAAATGGGTATCAAAGAAGTCTAGGTCAGTGGGTCTCAAACTGAAATGTTTAAGTTCAAAGAAAAGTTTTCATCATAGACTTAAATAGTTGCAAAAGGTAAAACTTGGAGTCCATCCTAAATATTGATATTAAAAATAAAAAGCTGTTAATTCATTTCTTTGAATATAACCAGTGGGTAATCTAAACACCTTAGCAAATTGATACATGCTATATAATCCTTTTAAACAAGGCACAGCCCCTTCTTTAATAGATCATTTCTTTTTCTTGAACTCTTATTCCCACTCTACTTCCTCCACAGAATTTTACCCTGCTGTAATATATTTTATGTTTAAAAGCAATTTATTGATCACTCCATTATACTTCTTGGCAACTATTTTAGTATATTAATTGAAATTAATTTTTAAACATGTTGTGTGACCCTAAGATTGAGTTACAATTATTTTTAGCACATGCTTGCTCAAAGTAATAAATGTATTACAAATGTTAATAATTACTAAATACAAAAAGTAAAATTTTGGAACTACATCTTAATGACAGAAGTGGGGCTGTTTTGCTTTCAATCAGTTTATGTATGTAGTCTTGAGTGTTATGAGACCACATTCAACATGAATTTTTTTCTGCTTCTTTGAAATTTTTTTTTTAATTTGTAGATGCTAGCGTTGAGAACCCTTGTTCACATAAGTAAGTAGACATAAATGAAAGGCATCTTTGGTGTCCCTTATAACTCTGAACTCCAAATTGTAGTTTTAATAATTGATTGGCTGACACCATGGATGGGTACTCATTCAATTTTATTGAAAGCAAATAATTGGATGATTTTTCATCCAGTTATTGAGTTATTCCTTGTCTCATTTTCTGAGAAGTGTATTGAAAAGGCACACCTTAACAAATAACTATAAATTACATGTTATTCATTTACTTGGAGGAAACCTGTTTAGTATTATATACTCAAAAGGAGCTAGAATATAGGAACATTAGTTTCAATAAATATTTTCCTACATAATATTTTTTGATATAAAGCTTTTATCATCACATACTTAAAATATATTTTAATCAAAATCTTAGAAAAAAAATCTTGGAGCTGAAGATTAATTTATACAACTGTCACCAGGTTTACCTTGTTGGTAAAATCAGTCCTTGTTGTCAACAGCAAAAAAAGTTATGTTTACTTACAGTCAAAATAAAATCTGGTTATACTTTCAGTGCAAATAAATGTTAATATATATTTTGAGGAATATTATGAAAACTACTGATAAATTATGAGTACATATTTTAGGGAAGATTATTGAAAGTAGACAGGGAAGTGTAAAAAGATGCAGATCTAATATAATTAATTATATCCAAATAATAAAAATAATGCAATGAAATATGTAAGTTATCTGTGAAATGAAGAGTATGATAAAAACATGTTTCTTAGTTAAATATGTTTTTAAGTGTTTGGAACTTTGGTGCTTAACATTTGGGAATAATTAAATAATAATCATATATAGAAATTAGAAATAGTTTCACTGAATTCTTTAGATATCAACTGAAATATTTATTATGCATTTTAAAAATGATAAAGTTGTATATGATAAAAATTAATTGATTTGGCAAACTAGCATACACTGTCATATATTGTTAATATTTTCCAGCATAAAATAAAATGAAGACTGGATGCTTTGGGGTAAATATTTTATAATATGATTGATTTAAAAATAAGATTTATACACTTTTGGAATTTTTGTTCTAGATCTGTGAAATATGCCATTGGTTGTTTTTGTTTTTGTTTTTGTTTTTGTTTTTGTTTTTGTTTTAATCCTCATCCAAGGGTATTTCTCCATCCATCCTCAGACAGAGTAGAAGGGAGGAAGGGAGAGAGAAAGAGAGAGAGAGAAACATTGATGCGAGAGAGACACACCGATTAGCTGCTTCCTGCATGACCCTGACCAGGGCCAGGGACAGAACTGCAACTGAGGTACGTGCCCTGACTTGAATCAAACCCATGACTCTTTAGTCTGTGGGCTGATGCTCTAACCACTGGCCAAACTGGCCCGGGTACCATTGGTATTTTAATAGGGATTATATTGACTCTATAGATTGCTTTGGGTAGTATGGACATTTTAATGATGTTAAATCTTTCAATCCATGAACATGGTATATGCTTCCACTTTTGTATATCTTCCTCTATTTTTTTTTTTTTTAATGCCATGTAGTTTTCTGAAAATAGGTCTTTTACCTCCTTGGTTAAGTTTATTTCTAGGTATCTTAATTTTTTGTTGCAATGCTAAGTGGGATTCTTTCATAGTTTCTTTTTCTGAGAATCCATTATTGGTGCATAAAAATGCCATTGATTTCTGGATGTTAATTTTGTATCCTGTTACATTGCCAAAATTTATTAATTAAACTTAGTAGTTTTTTTATGGAATATTTAGGGTTATCTGTGTACAATATCATATCATCTGTGAATAATGACAGTTTCACTTCCTCCTTTCCAATTTGGATGCCTTTTTTTTTCTTGTCTGATTGCTGCAGCTAGGATTTCCAATACTATGTTGAATAATGATCTCACTTATTTGTGGAATATAATGAACAAAATAAGCTGATGGCTCTGGACAGTTTGGCTCAGTGGTTGAGCATCGTCCTGTGGACCAGAGAGTCCCAGGTTCAGTTCCTGCTAGGGGCACATACCACAAAAAAATAAAACTAAATAAAAAATAAAAATAAAAAGTATCCACTCCCTGGTGCTACCCCAACGTAATACATTCAGACCTCAGGATGAAACCCAAGCATCAGTGTTTAAAAAAATAATAATAAAAATAAGCTGATGAACAAAACAGATCCAGAGACATGGAGGTAGGGAACAGACTGACAAACCTCAGAGGGAAGGATGGTTGTGGGGGGGAGAGGTTGGGGAAGAGATAAACCAAAGAACTTATATGCATATATGCATAACCAATGGACACGGACAACAGTGTGGTGAAGGCAAGGGACAGGGTGGAAGTGGGGAGGAGGCTGTCAACGGGGAAAAAAGGAGGACATCTGCAATACTTTCAACAATGGAGATAAATTTAAAAAATAAGATTTAAATAATCTTATTGACTGATGAACACAAAATCTGAAAAGAAATCACAAGGTTTTTATGTATTCATTTTATTCAGTGAATCTTTAAAATTTTGGTAGCTTTGGAAAAAAGAGTCTAGTTACATTTAAAAGAATCAGCAGCAACATCCTCTCCTACTTATCTCAGAGAAGCTTTCCTTTTCAGTTAAGGACATATCGGAGAGATTTTTTAAAAGCTGAAAAAATGCTTTAAACGTAGAGAAAAGAGACATTTTAAGCATTCTATATTTTCTGTCCTCTTCCCAGAGGTTTCTCTCTAAAGAGGAATGAACATTTTATAATTTTTAGGAGATGGAAAACTAGACATTACTTTCATCGATGTCACTACATGCACCTAAACTCAGAACACCCCGCACAGGCCATAATACCCTGGTTATATAGCCTCACCCTTCGCTCTCTCAGAAATAAGTATAAAAGCTAGGCAAGTGTGTGGAATTGGATGACAAGGGGGCTGCCCTGAAATCTGGGACAAAGCTTCCCTCCACTGGGCGGTTCTTGTGATTGGAGGCTTATCCCAGGTAAGGTGTGATGCACCTTAGTAAGATCTGATGCGGGAGTGGGGAAGGGAGAAAGGATTGTGAGAAAGGACCCACAGCTATGCAGGTCTGCTCTCAGGCAGGTGCCTGTTAAGAAAGAGCATACTCAGAAATGGAGATCTGAACATCAGTCCCTAAAGCTACTTGTGCTCTGTTCCCTTTGGAGGATCTTTGTTTACCTGTGATCGCTTCTGTCTGATTTAGAAACCACACATCTGGATGACAAGTAAAACAGTCCATCATCAGATGTTTGGTTTCTTACAGACATAATCTGAACCTAACCCAGCCCTGTTTTTGAAAAAAAAAAAAAAGTAAATATGAAATATTTTAGATATACACGATGTATCTCCAGCTATTGCCCATCTTCAATAATCAAGAACACACGGATACTTTTTATGCGTACCGTCCACCCAGCCATCCCACTGGATAATATTAAAGCTAATTCCAGGCATTATATGTCATTTCAATTCTAAATAACTTTATGTATCTCTAAAAGATAAGGACTCTTTAAAAATATATACCAATACTATTATCTCACCTAAAATTTTTCTTAATATCAAATACAGCCAATCAGTAATCAAGTTTCCCCAATTGTGTTATAATTTTTAAAAATAGTTGGTTTGAAATTGAATCCAAATAAGGTCTATACATTCGTTAGGTTATTATATCTCTTACCTCATTTAATCTACAGGTTTTCTCTCCTTTTTTTTTTTTGAAAATTTATTTGTTGAAGAAATGGGTTATTGCCTGGCTGGTGTGGCTCAATGGTTGAGCACTGACCCATGCACCAAGAGGTCATCGTTTTGATTCCCCGTCAGGGCACAGGCCCAGGTTGTGGGCCAAATCCCCAGTGGGGGCCATGCAGGAGGCAGCCAATCATTGTTCTCTCTCATTGATGTTTCTTTCTCTCTCCCTCTCCCTTCCTCTCTCTCTAAAAATTAATAAAGAAAAATAAATTTTTTTGAAGAAATGGATTATTGTCCTGCATTTTTCTGATTTTAATTCCACAATGTTATTAAAATATTCCTCGTTTTATGTATTTCCTATAGTGTGACATTCCAAAAACTTCATTAGATTCAGGTTGACTATTGTGGCAAAATATGTAATGGGTGGTGGTATATATGTCCATCCAGAGCACATCATACCTGGTGATCCCTCCTTTTGAGCTGTGAATGAAAACTGCTGACCACTGCCTGAGTGCATTATTTCACCAGGGACTTGAAAACCAGTGCTATCTTAATTCTAACAGTTCTTCCTTTGTTAACTGGAATACTTCTATAGAACTTTTCCTTGCTGACTATATGGTGACACCGAAGTACTGTGTTTACAAGAGAGTACTCAGTTCTAAAAAATGAATTAAAAATTGCCCTGGCCAGTATGCTCGGCAGTAAGAGCACTACTCGCAGACCAAAGAGTCCCGGGTTTGATTCCGGCCAAGGGCACATACGTCAGTTGCGGTTAGTCCCCTGCCCTGGTTGAGGTTGTGTGGGTGGCAGCCAGTCAATATGTCTCTCTCACATCAATGTTTCTCTCTCTTCCTCTTCCTCCTCTCTCCCTCCAGCTCTATCTAAAGATTAATGTAGAACTATCCTCCGGTGAGGATTAAAAAAAATAGAAGAATTAAAAATTAATGAATTTCTGATTGTTATTTTTTTTAAATCTCACTTTAGGCCTCCTATGGATCCATCCTAAGATACAGAATTGTTTCTTTTTAGGGAATGCTAGAAATTACATGATTTCTGGAATCAAGTCTTAAGCCAGTCAATCCTAAAAAAAAAATGCACCAAGTAACATACTTTGACATGTGTACTGTTGTGAGACTTAGTATTTAATCCCTCACTCTAATTTCCACTGTCTTTTCTTGTAGTCAGAAGAGCCTCCGACGATTAGGATACACATACTCACTTAGTGATCCTCTTCCCAACCAGACACTGTACAACGATGAGTACGTTTGGAAGCTACAGTCCAAAGCAGATTTGATCAGAGGTTCCACTCCAAAAGACACTGGGAGCCACAGTGATCACTCTGGTCAAGTAAGATGATATCTCCGTATCTATTGGATTTCATACTGTATCAATAATTCATCACACAGTTTGAACGCATGCCAAGATCTTGCATCATCTACAGTTTTGGTTCTTCTTAGACTCTTCTTGTCCACCTTTTCCTACTTATTTCTAACTACTTCCTTCCTATCCTCTCATTTTATAAAGATTTTTAAAAATTGAAGAGAAATTTACGCAGAGAAATTATAAGGGAAGGAAGGGGATGGAGAGGGAACGCAGAGATTAAAAAAGACTTGAAAGACAAACTTGGGACAGTGAGTGTCCTTAACTGTTGTGAGGAATTTCAGTGTAAAGGCAAACTGAGAAATAAAGAGAGAGTTTTCTTTTTAAGATAAGAGAAATACAGGCAGGCTTGGATACTGGTGACAACCACCCAGGAGAGAAGGAGGAATGGAAGTTGCAAGGAAGAGGTGAGATGGGGTGTGGCGGTGTGCTGGAGCGGACTCGATGAGGCTTTAGGGTGCCGGGGGGCCAGGGCGGTCAGGCCCTGCGGGGTGGCCCAGCAGCTCCTCTGCAACTCAGATGCTGTGGATGGGAGGTGGTGTGGTGGGCTGTGGAGGTTCTTTGCTGCCTTTAATTTTCTCAGGGAAATAGGAGGCAAGAGGGAAGAGAGGGAAGATGGAAAGTGGTGGTGGAGGTGCCAAGTTTCATAATCGTAGATCTCTGCAGAGGCAAAGAAGGGAAAGGGCGCGGGACTCCTAAGGCGTAGTAGCAGCTGTCTTATCTGTGGCCAGAGCTAAAATTCACGGGTCTTCTCTTCCTCTGATCTTGTCTGAAGATTTCTAGTTGGAGGCACAATTCTCTGGATTTTGTCATCACATTTTTTTTCCCATCAGTGTAAAAGTCAAAGAAGTGACAAAGTGCCTGTGTAAACCGATTGCTGGGTAAACTGAGGGCTCCTGTGGACAGGCTGCTGCACACACAGCGTCTGCATGGTGCCTGGGTGGAAAAGACTTAAAAGAATATGTACACACACACATGCACATATGTACACACCATTAGGTGAACCCATGGGGATTTATTGAAAACTGTGTTTGTATTGACAGGGCATCTTTCACTGGACACTACCTCCAGGTCACACAGTGAAGACCTACGTCCCTTGGAAAATCACTGCTTCCATGGACGAGATCAGGAAGGCCATATCAAATCAGTTTATTTCCCATACTAGGGGAGACTTTGTAGACAGAGCCAAAGGTAAGCGTGTCCACTGTCCTCTTCCCTGTTAATGTGCTAGGCACTGCGGTCCCAGTTGTCTCCTTCCTCAAGGACCTCACAGGATAGACATGGGGAAAGGCAATGTACCAAGAGAAGCCGTCCAGTATACAAAGGTGCACGCGGGAAATGCAGGGCGCTATGAGTGCGCACAGTAGGGCATCCAGCTGAACCTGGGGGGGAGCCAGGAAAGACTCCTTGGGCTGAAGGACAAGTACAAGTGAACCAGGTGAAGACGAAGTGATTGAGTTACACATCCTATTTCCAATTCTTAGTTGGCTATTTGCTATTTTTAAAAATAACAACTTTTATTAAACCAGTTCATGCATATACTTAAAAATAGCTCCCTCTAGGCTCATGATGAACAGCAGCAGTTTCTCGACCTACCCCTCCTATGCCCAGTCCGACTCCACTTTGACAATCATTTTTAGTTATTTCTGTTTTTCTTATGTCATCCTCTGTATTTTAAAATAACATGCTCATACTGCTATTTTTTTTAGTCCATCCATTTTAGATATTATTACTGACTTCCTGTTATGGCAGTTGAGAATTTGACTCCCCTATAACTAACTCTTCCTTACTCGTCCTCCATCCACTCTCTCAATATAACTTATTACAAAATTTGAGTTAATACAAATGCTCGGGGTTATAGTATGATATGATGATATGATACATTATGATATGTAAGCATTTACTGCTGAGCCAGGTGGTGTTTTACGATTATGTTTCTTTTTACTTTTTGTTTGTTTTTTTACTAGAGTTAATGAATTTTTTCATTTGCTTAGTTGTCTATGTGCCTATCACTAGTTTTTAAAACTATTTTGTCACACACGTAACAAGATTTTCAGTTTCAGACATTCTATCAATTTGAGATTTTACCGGTGAGCTGACACCCTCTGTCAGCCCCCTGTAGTCTAGAAGAGTCGCTCTGGAAATTTGCTGTCCAACGGTGTCCTGAGACTTCCTTTTCCATCAATCTGGGCATTTCTTTGGCCTCTTCCTGCACTGAATCTCATTTCCTGAGTCCACATATTTCTCTGTCTTGTTCCCCTCCCTCGTTTTGTTAAAGCATATTTTCTAGTAGCTTCCTATGAAGGGAGGTGTGCTATTAACTTTTTTTAGTGTTTTATGACCAATCTGGAAATGTCTTTTTTTCTTTCCTTATACTTGTTTGATAGTCCACTGGGTATAGAATTCTAGAATGATAATCATTTTCCCTTAGGTCCTTTAGGTCCCCCAAGTGACTGCTGGCACCCAGGACTTGTATTGAAAAGACTGATGCCATTTTGATTCATGAATCACATATTTTTTCCCCTGAAAGTTTTTAAGATCTTCTCTTTATTCCTGACACTGTAAAATTTTACATTTGCATACATTAATAAGAATCTCATTTATTATGTTGAACAATAAGGGACCTTTCAATCTAGAGACTTACGTCCTTCGATTTTAGAATTATTTTCATATACCCTTTTCCTATTTTTTTTCTTTGTTCTCTTCTGGGATTCCTGTGAGTTGGTTTGATCCTCTAATTTTTTTTTTTACATTTTCTCTCCTAGTATCTTTCTCTTTGTATTTTATTATGTTTATTTGAAATATTTTTTACTTTTTAATCCAACTCATTAAATTCTTAATTTTAGCCCTCATGTTTTTGATTTCCAAGCTCTCTTTCTTCTTCTCTGATTATTTTGTAAAAATAGCATTCTGTTCTTGTTTTATAGATGCAGTAATTCTCTTATAAATTTTATGATATTTATGATAGCCTTAGTTTTTAGTGTTTTCATCTGTTCTTTGCTTCATCTCTAGTTTCTCTGTGTCTTAATGGTCTAATAAAAATCTGGGGAGTTTTTTTGGTTCATATTTATAAGGGAGTGAAGGCAGATTTACTATGAAGCTAATAAAACTTAAGTCTCACTTCTATGGGCTCTTTTTTTCTTAAAGTGGATTTACCCAAAATATTAAGCTCCAGGGTTCACAAAATCTACAAGGGAGGTACTCAAATCTGATTGGAAACTACATACAGACATGGGGCTTTTTAGCTGGTGCTTGACTTAGCTGGTGAGCTCTCTTTTTGTTGGGAAACCCCCAAATACCAGAATTTGTAGATCATTTTTTCCCCAAAAGGTAAACACTGGCTCTTGGCATTCTGAGGACTAGGGAGGGGGCTGAGAGCTTCCTGCTTGCTGTGCATACTCTCCCTGAACCCCTCCTTTTTCTGGTCCAGAATCTCTGTACACCCTTCTCCTTTTCCTGATGTGCTGGAATCCAGAGCTTCTTTGGTTCAAGTTTGTGATGAATTAATCTCTGGTTAAGTAGGGGATGGAATCAAAAGATCTCCATATTGCAGATAAACATAAAGCTTCGAGGGAAAACATCTGAAATGCCAGCCCTCTTAAAAGATGTCATTGAGCCCAGCTGATGTGGCTCAGTTGGTTGAGTGTTGTCCCATGCACCAAGAGACCACTGGTTCGATTCCTGGTCAGGGCACATGCCTGGGTTGTGGCCACGATCCCCAGGAGGGGGTGTGCAGGAGGCAGCCAATTGTTGTTTTTCTGTCATAAATGTTTCTACCTCTCCATCCCTCTCAAAATTGCTCTCTAAAAAAAAAAAAAAAATCAATTAAAAATAAAAGATGTCATTGAGCTTCCAGTCAAAGTTGTCCTTTTAGCATGCAAAAATTACCATGTCCCCTTGTGTAAATAAATGCAGAAGACCTGTCAAGACACCCTCCTAAATCTCTTAATTCCATCTGCTTCTCTGCCTCCCCACAGCCACTGCGTTAGTCAGGCTACCAGTGTGTCTCCCTGGGATGACCTCTAACCCAACTCCCTTTTCTGGTTTCGTCTCCTCTAGTCCACTGTCCATACTATAGCCACAGTGAGTGTCCAAGGTGCAAACTGACATGCCCATCAACGACTCCCCACTGTCCTCAGTATCCTGTACAGGCTGGTCCTTGCTCACCGCTCCGGCATTTCCCCTCGCCAGTCCCCACACTGCGGCTGGCTGCCTGCTGTCCTCTGGAAGCCCAAGCCGCCTGCAGCCTCCTGCCCCCGCACACACCTGTGGACTGCCTCTCCCTTTCTTCTTTTAGCCCGTGTCTGTCCGTCATTGAAGTCAAATGTAAATTCTTTTTCTCATCCCCCAAGTTTGGTCGATGGCCCTCCAGTATGGTTTTATAGTTCCTTCTATGCCGCACGTATCATGTAATATTTTAATTCTCTTTTTTGTGTCTGTTTCTCTACTACTTTAAGCTTTGGAAGCTCTGGGATCATGTCTCACCTGAGTATCCTCATTATTGAATTATGGTGAATGAGGGAGAAGGTGCTTGTTTACTCAAGAAATCCGGGCTTGGAAAACTCTGCTTGGGTGACTTAGAACAGCAGATAAAAGCAACAGAACTACTTTTCACTTGGCTATAGATTATATGCCAACGGTCCTAGTGGTTTTGAACAGTCCTTGCTGTAGGTTTACTCATGGATTGGGCCTTTCAACAGATGCCATACCTAATCTTAAAGGGGCCAGTTTCTCTCTTTGGGCTCTGAGGGCTGTGATTTATGTCACCGTCATCAAGCAGAAGAGAAACCAGTGGGCACCGAGCTCCTGAGGAACAGGGTGATCCAGGCCTTGGAGGTGGTTAGCTTTGAGCCAGGTCATCCTGTCTGTCCATACTTCAGTACCACTACCGGGACTTCAGGTGTTGGTTAGGCCCCCTTTGTACCAGGAACTTCTCTCCCTAACAATGCCAGAGCACATCATACCTGTGGTCCCTCTTTCCGAGCTGTGAATGAAATCTGCTGAATTCTGTTACTATGATCAATACTAAGGATCAGTGAAGAATATGACCTCATCTTTATCTTCAAAGGCATTCAGAGTAAATCTAGGTCCCAGTTATTGTCTTCTCTGGATCTCCAGTTGCCCTACTTCGATGCTGGTCAGTCACGGTCCACATGGACCCGCTTCTCCAGACCTCCACCGCCTGGTTCCTCACTTACCTCTCCTGCTTCCCCTTCAGCTTCTCCCCCACCTGCGAGCTGTACACTCCTGCCAGCCAGACGACATTTCGTGAACACACTGTGCACCTTTGGCTTTAGTGTTGGTCCCTTGTCAAAGCGTGTCCTTTGCTAGGTCTGCCTTTCAATCCTCATCTTCCTTCCCTTCCCCTAATAGAGTTCATTACACTCTCTCTGGGCTTCTGCAGCTCCTATGCAAGGCTTAGATTCAGTGATTCTTAAGCATATGAGAAGCTTGTTCACAATGTAAGTGCCTGGATCCCACTTCTAGAGATTATTAATGTCTGGGATGAGGTTCAGCGCGTATAATGTGGAAAAACCATCCCAGGTAATTCTGATGGATTATCTCCATGTGACAGTTATTGTTCCAAATGTTATGTTTGCCAGACATCACATTCCATATGTTTGTCCTAGGTCTATCTTTCTAATCATACTTGTTTGAGGTTGTCTTAAGGCAGAACAGTGGCTTAATTATCTTTCATCTTGGCACAGAACACATACAGGGCCTGAACACATTTGCTTTTGAGTAGTAGCATCAAGTATTTCAACAAGAATTTGTTTTTGTTCTACACAGCAATTGGTGATTTACAAAAGCCAAATTATAGATGGTGCTTACTAGGAACAATGCCAGATTACTTTCCAAAATATGTTAAGGGATCTCTGATTTTGAGCCCGAGAGCTTCCTCCTCTCTGTAACCTTGTCTTCTCCTTGGGCAGCTTATGGGCTCATTATGAGGGCCACTGAGTACCCACGTCCTCTCCTCCTGAGTCATTTAAATGAAAAGCATGCTGATCTAGACAGAGATCATTTTTTTAAAAAATCGATAACAAAATGCTCCTGGGTGCCAGTAGATGACATCACACACTGTTTGATGTACAATGTACATTTGAATGTATTTTGAAAAGACCTTTTGAAAAACTAATTGGGAACAAGAATTGAGTTTAGTTTCTATAGTAATTGGCACTGTTTGGACATTGCGCGTGACATCCGCGGTTTTAACATCTTTGTCCTTTATAAAGTTGGGATTGTGTGATGTGCTTTTGAACCAACGTTTCGTAGCAAGAATCCAGGGTGAGCTCATCTAAATGAGATGGCTTGGGACTGTCTCCTCTGTAACTTGGTAGGGTGCTTGTGGAACCTGGTGTCCAGTCAGTGCTTAATAAATATCTAATGATTATAGATGTCATGAATATTTGCTAGCAGAGTTATTGCAAAGAAATCATAGTGCTATTGTCCACTAACGACAATGATGTCACCTAACTCTCCATCAGCAAGGGATAAGCTTTGAGTGGCTCTTTCCAGGTGATGGGAACGCTGGGCAATGCTCCCCCTAGGGCTGCTAGGTGAGGCAAGTGAGGATACAGGATGCCCAGTTACATTTGAATGATATATAGTGGATAAATTCCAAGTACTTATGCCATCTCACACTGAAAATTACACATTGTTTATCTGAAATTCAAATTTAGCATCCTCGTTTTATATGGCACCCCTAGCCCTATCTAAAGCCTCTCTCCCTGCTCCCTACCCCTGCCCCAGAGACAAGGCAGGCCTTCCGTACCTCGGAGCTCAAAGAGCACCCCTAACCAACACAACATGCATTCATTAAAATGACTTGTAAGCACTTGAGCACATGCTTCCTGTGTCTAATAAAGCAGATTATTTCGTGGTTGAAACTGACCGCCCTAAACACTAGAGTGAGGCTCTGGGTGATACATTGAAGGCTGCTGCCAGAAGCAAAATGGAATGGAAATCTGACACTACTGAGAAATAGCTGACAAGGAGTAACCATTGCCCTTCTTTCCACCCCCACTCCAGCTCAGAAGATTAAGCAAAGTTCTCAGATGTTTCTGGAATGGAAAAAGTTACTTCCCCAGCCCGCAGACACTGAATTTCGACGCAATTATCAAGTTCCAGCTAAAATTCCTGAGTTTCAGGATTTTAGTTTCAAATATGGATGCTACTCGAGCCTACCAATTGCTTCTCAGGGTCTAGGTAAGTGCACGAGTAGCTGTGGAAGCCCCTGCATAGACACGGTCCCCTTGCTCCAGGACTCCTGTTGATCTGAGTAACACTTTCGGAGAACGCCAGTGGTCCCTGCGTGGAATTAAAACGATGCCTCCACCGTACCTAGCCTCAAACTCAGGAAAGGATTAAGTCTCCAAGAGAACTGACTGCTTACTCCGAGAAATGGGTACATCCTCAGCCTGGGAGGGGCAGGTGCAATTATAATATGAAAGGAAGGATTCAGTGGCTATACATCTGCAAGGAAAGAGATAAGGTGGGAATCACATTAGTCTTGTCAATTATTCGCTGCAAGTTTATCCACAAAGCACACCCTTCAAGCATCTTCAAATTTAAGCGGTGTGCGTGTGTGACCCAGATTTCTATTGTTTTCAACAGAAAGGTTTTCAAAAGCTCCGTGACCCAGCCACCTCCACGCTGCTGACTGAGAGGATTCTTGGGTGTCATGATGAAACAGTGATTGATTCCTGGCATGGAGTTGGGACCAAATAGTACTTTTCACGGGAATCACAGAACAGATGCTTAGCATCTGGGGTTAGGAGGTAGCGAGAAGTTACTTGGCCTAGATCCGCACATCCTATATGAGTCACCGATATATCATCCCTGCCAAGGGGTGATGTCATCCCTGCCCGGACCCTTCAGGGGGGTGCTCATCCCCCTGGAGCTCCTTCGTTCTTATTTTATCTGTTTGAAAGTTTTGAACAGCAAGAATCCTCCTGCCCAACTTCTAGCCATTGGTTCTCTTCTTGCCACAGAGTACAAATCGATCGTGAAGACCTTAATATGTATCTTCTAACTCTCTCGCACGGAAAGCGTGTTCAGGCCCTATGAACACTCTTCTCAGGATGGCGTGTCCAGGCCCCTCACCAGCCCGGCCCCTCCATCTGGCCAATGGCTCATTTCAAGGGGGCAGCTGGAACCAAAGCAGCATTGAAGGTGTTCTTAAGGTTTACAACGATTGGACAAATTGTGGACAGATTCTCTCTTCATCTTCATTGCTTTTTGTTTTTCTCTGTAACTCGGTGCCTCTCAGAACCCACAGTAAGCGAGCGGCATTGGGAGGCAAATGTACGCGCTCTGCGCCCCCTTCCTCCATCACGGGCGCCACCCGTGTTCCAGGCTGCTCCTCGCACAGGGGGAGGCCTCTCCAGGTGCCAGTCCCTGGCTGCCAGGAGGAGCCATGAAAGGGAACAAAGCAGGTGGCAAATGCTACCATCCTGACACGCCGACCTGCAGAAGAGTCGATTCCAGGGAAAACTTCTTTTCTGAAAACAGTGGTCAAACTCAACCTTCTGGCGCTCATCCCCAACCCCTCCCACCCCCACAGTGGCGGTGCTGAGTCCCAGCCGCTCTGCCTGCCCGGGTCTCTCCCACGGCCCCTCCCATTCCAGGACCATTAAGGATGCCGAGTGGGCACCAGGTCGGGCTCAGGGCTGTCTGGGGTGTGCTCCCAAATACGGGCAGCAGTTCCTGGCTTGGTGACAGCCTCTGTGCCTTCCCTTCCCTGTGTCCCGCAGTCCCATCCGTACTGCACAGCCACATGAGAAATCAGGACCGCACAAAGAAGCAGTCCACGTACCAGAGTGACTACGGGAAAGCCTACCTGGATTTCCTAATGATCTTGAACTCATTTACTCCCTCTCAAGTCGCACAGTACCTGCAGAGCGTCTCCTACAAAGGTAAGATGAGGGCTTGAGTTACTTGTTCATGAATTTACAGCTCATAAATACATCACTTTACACCAAGTAGAAACTGTTCCAACTTCCAGACACTGGAGTTTAATGTTCACAAAAAGAAATACTGCCTCAAAAAAAAAAAAAAAAAAAAAATCCATAGTTTTTGTGCAAACCTCAACCCATTAAAAATACATTTTTCTTAGAAGAGGCCCCACTTATTAAAAGGGAAACAGCTTTTCATTCATTTCTGACCTCAGTTGCCGGTGGCTGAGTTGTTCCAGGGTGATTTCTTATAGTTACTGGATTTTGCCCAGGGGCTGTGTGCACTGTCTCATAGTTTTGTTTCATTCTGTGTGATATTTGTTTCCTGTTTGGTGGTACTTTTTTGTGGCAGGTTTTTTAGGGTACATGAGTATCTTCACATATCCTCTGAGAGAGTGAGTGCCATTCCCAGGACCTGGTTGGCTGACTGCACGTAGCAAGGACCTACCCAGGTTGGGGCCTAGTGACAGGAATCTGCTTGGGAACATCTCAGGGCAGCTGGTCAGTGTGGGACGTGTCCACCCAGAGAATAAGAGCTGGAGGAGGGGAAACTGCACTCATCCACAGCTGCCTGTCAGCTCCCAATGCTGCTGTTCGTGTGGGAGCACGTGACCTGATGCAGACGTGTCTATTTATAGAGAGAATATGCATATAACACTAAACTAATGGACTATGTACACTAGAAAGCAGACAAAATGTGGAAGGAGGAAGTAAGGAGCAAACACAATAGAGGTTCTAGTATTTCTCCCTGTACCCAGTGGACCACCTCGTTCCCTGACCTGTGCTCTAGGCCATGTGGGGGTCATTGCCTTGTTTGTGCCCTGGGGTCAGGCTTCAGCTCAGAACTTCCACCAGCTACTCAGCAACCCTCCCACTGCGCTGTCTCCTCCCTCTCTTTTTTTATCCTCACCCGAGGATATTTTTCCATTTTTTGTACAGATAGAGTGGGAGGGAGAGAGAGAGAGAAACATCGACATGAAGGGACACATCGAGTGGCTGCCACCCGCACGACCAACCAGGGCCGGGGACAAACTGCAACCGAAGCACATGCCCTTAGCGGGAACCGAACCTGGGTCTCTCTGGACCGCAGGCCGACGCTCTAACCGCTGAGCCAAACCGGCCAGGCCTCCTTCCTCTCTTGGGTCCCCGGTTTCTGTCCCCAGCCACAATCACAAGAGCTTGCTCCCAGAATTCCTGCTGAAACCCTTTCTTCATTCTCCCACCTGCTGCCCCAAAGCAGACTGAAACCCTGCTGGAGGCAGGACTGAAAGGGGATGTGTGTGTGCTTGTTTATGTGTGTGCATGTGTGCGTGTGCGTGTGCACGTGTGTGTTTGGGGAAAAGGGGGATCTTCCACCCTCTCAGACTGAGAGCGGACGCCCCGAAGGCCCCTGCCAGAGCTTGTGCTGGGTCTCGCTCTAGCAGCAGCATGAGTCTGTATTTCCCCCCGGGAACTTGATTCCTGTTAGCAGATGCCTCGGGGCGGTTGACGGCTCAGACTGACAAGGAGGGGCTCCTGGCAGCGGTGCACGCTCAGATCTGTCCAGGAGGCAGAGCAGCGGCCCAGCCTGCTCTCCGAGCCTCTCCTCCGCTTTGGTTCAGATGTATGGAACCGGCTGCGTTTTGTCGGCTCCGCTCACCTACAGGAGCTACATCTGTTTGGCCCTGTGGATTATTTCTGTCTTCCGGAAGCAGACGCCCCCTTCTGCCCAGACCTCGTGACACAGATGGAGCTGTCCCTTCTCTGCCCACAGAGCCATGCTGGCTGCCGGCCCCTCTGTCTCTTGCCTATGTGTCGTTTGCAGTCGGAGCCTCAGCCATGCCTGCTGAGGGTGAATGACACCTCCTTGGAGTGCTTGGCAGCCTCTGCCCACGAGGGTCGGCTTTCTCCGAGACTCCTCGGGCAAACTGGTCCTTCAGGGAAACACTGTGCCCCCACCGGGCTTTTCTCCCGGGACAGCTGAGACATGACCTGTTACCTGACAAGGCAGCTTTAGGGCCAGCCGGTCCAGCCTTTGGTTTCTTCTTAGCTGGCCTGCTTGCTTTGGGACGGCAAGGGGCAGGCACCCCAGGGCGCAGGCCCCGCAGCCTTGCCGGCTCGCACGGACGCCAGTCCTGTCGGATCTGCTTGCAGTGGGGTCTAGTTTTCCTTTCTTAGCTTCGCTCCTACTCATCCACACCAGCTGTGCCAGAGGCTGCAGCAGGAGGAGGCTCCCTTTGAATTCTGAAGCCGAAACCTCTTGTCATCTCCACTGTCTGGGATGACACTGATGCTTTCCAGCTGGCGACTACCGGCGGAGCTCTTTGTGGCGGGGCCGAGCGGGCCGAGCGGGCAGAGCGGGTACGAGTGGGTACGAGCGGGTACGAGTGGGTACGAGTGGATATGAGTGGGTACGAGCGGGTATGAGCGGGTACAAGTGGATATGAGTGGGTATGAGTGGGTATGAGTGGATACGAGTGGGTACGAGCGGGTACGAGTGGGTACGAGCAGGTTTGAGCGGGTACGAGTGGATATGAGTGGGTACGAGCGGGTACGAGCGGGTACGAGCGGGTATGAGCGGGGCCGAGCGGGTATGAGTGGGTACGGGTGGGTATGAGTGGGTATGAGTGGATACGAGCAGGTACGAGCGGGTACGAGCGGGTATGAGAGGGTACGAGCGGATATGAGTGGGTACGAGTGGATATGAGTGGGTACGAGCGGGTACGAGCGGATATGAGTGGGTACGAGCGGATATGAGTGGGTACGAGTGGGTACGAGTGGATATGAGTGGGTACGAGTGGATATGAGCGGGTACGAGCGGATACGAGCGGGTATGATTGGATATGAGTGGGTACGAGTGGATATGAGTGGGTACGAGCGGGTACGAGCGGGTATGATTGGATATGAGTGGGTACGAGCGGATATGAGCGGGTACGAGCGGATATGAGCAGGTACGAGCGGGTATGAGCGGGTACGATTGGATATGAGTGGGTACGAGCAGGTATGAGCGGGTACGAGCGGATATGAGTGGGTACGATTGGATATGAGTGGCTATGAGCGGGTACGAGCAGGTACGAGCGGGGCCGAGCAGGTACGAGCGGGTACGAGCGGGTATGAGTGGATATGAGTGGATATGAGTGGGTACAAACGGGTGTGAGTGGGTATGAGCGGGTATGAGTGGATATGAGTGGGTACGAACGGGTACGAGCGGGTACGAGCGGGTACGAGTGGGTATGAGTGGGTACGAGCGGGTACGAGTGGGCATGAGTGGGTACGAGTGGGTACGAGCGGGTACGAGCGGGTACGAGTGGGTATGAGTGGGTACGAGCGGGTACGAGTGGGTATGAGCGGGTACAAGCGGGTACGAGTGGGTATGAGCGGGTACGAGTGGGTATGAGCGGGTATGAGTGGGTACCAGCGGGGCCGAGCAGGTACACGAGCAGGTGCACTGGCAGATGTGTTCGGCTGTCTGTGGTCACCCCAGCTTCAGCTCTTTTGTGGGATTATCCCTCTTAGACAGCACAGGAGCCTGTTCAGGTACAGTTTGAAAGAAGAGGGGGAGGGTAAGGATCAGCATAAGGGCCTAGGTTTGGGGGAGGCTAGGGAGGTGCAGGGTGAGGGGCACTGAGAAAACCTAGGGAAGACACAGAATAAAGCTTGGAAGGAAGGAGCAGCAGCTGAAGGCGAGCCTTTCTTTCCAGTAACTGTGTCGCTATTTGGTGTGGAGTTTCTTTCTGTACTTACGACCTGAGGGACTTGAACCGGACCTTGCAGTGGCCATTCTCTTCTCAAAACGGGTGACTCTCCAGATCCCGATACCGGGCAGCTTAGCCTTCGGGCCTCTGCTAGGTTTTGGTAAAGACAGTCATCTCTCCACTTACCCCTCACCTGGAAAGACGACATGCTCTGGAATCTGCTTTGCAGAACGTTTCAGCTGTGACTCCAGCCTCTTCTTCGTGAAAACGCCCACAAAGATGGCCAGGGGGCATTTCTTCCTAGGGTGTATTCGGTATTGTTAAAACGCAGTTATTCACGCACTCAATCAGCGTCCTTGACTGAATACCTGCAATGCTCACTTGATAGGAAGATACACAGAAAGCAAATCCTTCTGGGGGAGCTCAGTGTCGGGGGAGAGGGCAGGGCTAGCGCGGCTCTGGACGGAGCTGCTCTGGGGCAGGGGAAGCCTGCGCGGGGCACTCCCAGCCCTGGGACGCCGGGCCTCGGGCCCGGGCACACGAGGCCTCCTTTGCGGGGCCAGGATGAATTGTGGGACAAGGAGAAGCAGGGCCATTCCTAAGCAGAGGAAACAGCATGAACAAATGCTGTTTATGGGGGTGGGGGGGCTAAGTCTACATCTCTGCATAATGAATATGGGTAGTATTTGGATTACAACTGGCAGCCTTTTTAAATAATCATTTAGATTGACGTTCAGTTTGACACAATCTCATCTTTTTTATTAACGCACGCCAAACTTGATTCACCTGACATGTGTATCTTTGGTATCATAAAGATTCTTTTCACTTCTCTTAAAATAAACTCTTTGAGGCCCTAGGCAGTTTTGTTTAGTGGTTAAGGCATCAGCCCATGGACTGAAGGGTCGTAGGTTCGATTTCCGGTCAAGGGCACTACCTGGGTTACAGGTTTGATCCCTGGTCCCGGTTGGGGTCATGCAGGAGGCAGCCAATTAGTGTGTCTCTCACATCAGTCTCTCTCTCTGCCTCTTTCTCTCTCTCCCCCTTCCGCTCTCTCTAAAAACCAAAAGAAAAAAATATATATCCTTGGATGAGGATTAACAAACAAAACAAAACACTCTTCAGTATTAGACTGAAAAAGAGAGACATTTTAGGCTTGGAATGACAAGGACTGGCAGTAGCCAGCGTTGATGCTGTGGAGTGTTGTGTTGCTGGTAGTGGTATAGTAGTGCAATTACTCTGGAAACACCTGGCACTTTCTCATAAAGTTAAACATATACCTACACCATGACCCAGAAAGTCCACCTCTAGGTATTTACCCAAGAAAAATAAAATAGGCCCACAAAAGGACTTGCATAGAAATGTTTTGAGCCATGGTATTCTTAATGGTCCTAAACTGGATACACCCCAAATCTCCATCATAAACAAACTGACATACTCACATAATGATATACTACTAGATTATAACAAGAATGAATTATCGATATATTCAACACAAGGTATGAACCCCAAAAGCAGTATACCCCAAAAGCATTGTAGCCAGACACCGAGTACACATTTAACTTACCCATGAGGAAGGAAATCAGAACCTTATCCATCTCTGGGGTAAGAGGTACCGACTGGGAAGGGGCGCGACGGGTCTTTCTGGGGTGGGGGACACGATCTACACTGTGGTGCGGGTGTGGGTTACAAGTGTGCTGGTGCCAAGCCATCGAACTGCACTGGCAGATTAGTGCATTACACTTTTCATAAAGCGTAATTTTTCATAAAGTGTAAAATTTCCACTTAAAAATTGCCAGGGTCAAAAAAAAAGTCTGGATAGGGTAGGGATGGTTCAAAATTAAATGTGAGATCATAAAAACAAATAAATACAAACCTAGTTGGAGAGAAAACAGGAACACCCCCGCGCGTGCACACACACACACACACACACACACACCTGATCTAGAGACCTCAGCTGGCTTTGCAACAGTAACCATAATAACGTGTTATCACTTGCATTCTTCGTGTCTTTTGGTTCTTTTGGATTGGGCTGCACAGGTGACAATTGGTAGACATGAGCAAAGTTTTACAGCTCCACTCTGTACTATTTAAAAATGTGTAATTATGCCCTGCCGGTTTGGCTCAGCGGTTAGAATGTCGGACTGCGGACCAGAGAGTCCTGGGTTTGGTTCCCACTAAGGGCACGTACCTTGGTTGCAGTTTGTCCCTGGCCCGGTTGGGGTCATGTGGGTGGCAGCCAGTCCATGTGTCTCTCTCGCATTAATGTTTCTCTCTCTCTCCCTCCCTCTCACCCTCCCGCTTTATCTGAAGATGAATGCAAAAATAAATAAATAAAAATGTATAATTACGATTAGGGAACCACAGATGTTCAGGCCAGGCAGGATTCTTTGTTTTCCAGAGAGGGATTGGAGACAAGGGAGTTGCATGGTCATGTATCAGCCAAAAACAGCAAAGCCACCCTGGCCGGTTGGGCTCAGCAGTTAGAGCATCAGCCCACAGACCAAAGAGTCATGGGTTTGATTCTGGTCAAGGGCACGTGCCTCGGTTTGGTCCCTGGCCCTGGTCACAGTCACGCAGGAGGCAGCCAATCGATGTGTCTCTCTCACATCGATGTTTCTCTCTCTCTCTCTCTCTCTGCCTCCCACTCTGTCCCTCCCTCCCACTCTATTTGAACATAAATGGAAAAAAATATCCTCCAGTGAGGATGAATAAAACAAACAAACAGCAAAGCCTGCCAACGCTGGTGGGAAGGAAAGCAGCCCAGGCGTCAGGGAACTGTTGGAATAATGGTCTTTGTTATTTATCACCACTATGTACTACTGTGAGCCCAGGAATAAAAGGGTAGAGCTGTGGTATTTACTGGGTGTCTTTATGGAGCCGGCACTGTCTGGGTGCCTCAGACACAGCATTGCTAGTCCATTCCCACACCTGGGCAAGGTCGCTACTATTCCCTGTATTCAAAGATAAGAGAATAAAAAAGGGGGAGGTCAAATGACTTGCTAATCCTCGCCAGTGCAGAACTAAAACCTGCACCTGCTTGGTGCCAAACCCCATGCTCTGGCCATGAAGGCGTGCTGATCCCTTGAATGTTAAGTTAGCTGTTTTTAATCAATAATCACACCACTGTGTCTTTTTAGCTATTAGACGTAATATCCTTTGATGATTTTGGTCTCATCAGATTGGTGCATAGAGCACTATTTATAAGATACTTGCCTCTTTCCTGGAATCTCTATGTTTAGCACTTAAATAGCTAAATAGAAATTTTCATCCTATTTTTCTTCATCATTTCAGACAGAAAAATCCTCGATCGCTTTATTCACTCACACTGTGATGTTGACAGAGGGATAGAATGAAAAAGGAAAATAGTCCAAATGACGAAAATCTGAAAATCAGTGAAAGGCAAGTCATGTTATAAAAAAATCAAGGAGACTTTGTGTAATTTCATTTTCTTTCAAGGCTATACATCCTCACCCCACCCCCCAGCACAGCTCTAACTGTATCCAGTAGGTTTTGCTATCAGGTTTGTTCCTATTCTCTGTTGGATACTAATTTGTGGTTTTAATTTTGACTTCCTCTTTGAACCAGGAATTATATGGAAGAAGTTTCTTAATTTTCCAATAATTAGAGGATTTAAAAAATCTTTTTTATTATTGATTTCCTGTTGGAAAGTAAAAAGAAATCTCTGATTTGGGAAATTTTGCAGAGTTTTCTGTTATGCCAAGTATATGGTTAATTTGTGTGTTACATGAATATACGAAAAGAACACATGTATAGTTTGTATTTTTCAAATCCCTTGTATATTTTCTTTAGTTATATACTTGAACTGTCAAATTCCGAAATAATATTAAAAACATTCCACAATAAAAGTGTTTTCATCAATATCTTCTTGTATTTTGCTATATATATGGCTGCTATATTATCTCATTACATTTTTTCTCTTTGACCTTGTTAATGCATTTGTCCTTGCATTACGTTTTAGTTGATATTAATGCTGAGTTTATTTTTTCCCTTTGTATTTACCTTCTCTTAATTTCCCATCTTTCTTTGTAACTGTTTCTGTGTGTTTCTAGAAATACCTTATGTCTGGGTTTTATATTATAACTAATATCAGAGTCTTTGTCTTTTGCTGGGAGGATTTAGTCAGTACAGTAAAACCTTGATATAATGGACTAATTTGGGTAAGGGGGTGTCCTTTAAAGCCGACAGTCTGTTATATAATAAAGTAGATTTTCCAAATGAGCATGTTAAAAAATTGAAAAATTAGTTAGTTTGCTGTTTTTACTTATGTAGACACGTTTGTGTAATTAAAATTAAATATGTATGAGAAATTTAATTTCACAGAAAAGTTGTGTCTATGCATTACTGTAATTTTAAACCTATACTGAATAGGTCTAGTACATGCATGCATTCACCAGTCACCGCTAGTAAACAAATGCACACGGCTGCCCTGGCCGGTTACTCAGTGATTAGAGCATCAGCCCACAGACTGAAGGGTCAAGGGCACATGCCTGGGTTGTGGGTTTCCCTGCCCCGACCAGGGCTATATGGGAGGCAACCAACCGATGTGTCTCTCTCAACATCGATGTTTCTCTCTATCTCCCTCCTTTCTACTCTCTCTAAAAAAAAATTAAAAATCAATGGAAGAAAAAATAAATAAATACATGCACATGGCTGGGGCAAGACTTAGCACACGTGGAAACATCAGCCCCGCAACAGCAAAGTGGTACACGCACAGTATTTATTTAGATGAGACCTCTCTGGAAACCTCAAAATAAAATGAAAGGCTAGACAGAATACGTTCTCTTTCTTAACATTTTTAAGTCGAATCACCACTAGCAAATACAGATTTTAAACAGGAGAGTGTGGTTGTGGTTCTTTTGTAATTAAAACCTGACCGAATGGTGAAGGCATGTTGGGCACCGAGAGGGCTCAGGAGGCCAGCAGCCACAGCTGCATCCAGTGTGGGGAGGTGGGAGTGGCTGCCTCAGTGTGGTTTCTTCTCAGGACACTTGCCACCCCCAGACAAGTCACAGTCCTGGATGGGCGTTAACTATGTTGAACCAGGACCTCTGTTATCACAGTTCAAAGAGAGCAGTGTTTCAACACAGACAATGATTCTGAAGTTCTTTCTCTTGTGATACCCCCATAATGCTTGTTTCCCTTTCTCCCCTCTTGCAACTCATCCCCCACCCCAACACACACAACCAAAAAGTACCCCCACCCCAACACACACAACCGAAAAGTACCCCCACCCCAACACATACAACCGAAAAGTACCCCCACCCCAAAACACACACAACCGAAAAGTACCCCCCACCCCAAAACACACACAACCGAAAAGTACCCCCCACCCAACACACACACACAGCCGAAAAGTACACCGAGCAGATTTCTGTGCTCTCCAGAAACACCTGGTCTTTGTGTTTAACCTCTTGAGGAAACTATTAGATAAATATGTTTCAACTTGTTCTATTTTGTTTAAAAAATGCTTTCATGAGTGGGAGAGTAGGAAAATAATATTACTTTCAACTAACTGAACATGGCAATACTTTGTAATAAATAAATAAATAAATACACCACAATGGATCATATGTAGTTGACCTAGAATAGTGTGCGGTTCAGAGGTGCCCACTGCCCACCCAGTAAACATTCTGTGTGGAACTTAAGTGAGCTCACTGCACGTGTGGACTGTCAACCACCAAGTGGACCCTTGAACAACATGGGTTTGAACTGTGAGGGGCAATTGCAAAAATCCACATATAAGTGACCTGCAAAGTCCAAACCCACATTGCTCAAGGGACAACTGTGTGATTGACATTTTTTTATTGATTTTTTTTTAAACCCTCACCCGAGGACATTTTTCCATTTTTTGTTCAGATAAAGTGGGAGGGAGAGAGAAAGAGAGAGAAACATCGTCATGAGAGAGACACATCGAGTGGCTGCCTCCCACAAGACCCAACCAGGGCCGAGGACAAACTGCAACCGAGGTACGTGCCCTTAGCGGGAACCAAACCCAGGTCTCTCTGGACTACAGGCCAATGTTCTAATCGCCGAGCCAAACCGAACAGGGCTTTATTGACTTTTTTAGAGAGAGAGGAAGGGAGAGAGAGATAGAAACATTGATGTGAGAGAGAAACATCCATCAGCTGCCTCCTGCACGCCCCCTACTGGGGATCGAGCCCACAACCCAGGCATGTGCCCTGACCGGGAATCAAACTGGGACCTCAGTCATGGGACGATGCTCAGTCCACTGAGCCACACCAGCTGGGCATTGACTTTTAATTATATGCTGAAAATCTCCTCTGTGTACAGGAGGTATATGAGTCAGCAATGCTTCTCAACCTTGGCTGACCATTAGAAGGGCCTGGAGAGATTTTTAAATCCTGATGCCCAGGCCACTTCCTGGCCCCAGGACTCCCGAGAGGCTGGGGTTGGAACCAGCAGCAGTCTGCCCTAAATCCCAGGTAACTGCAGCGCAGCACAGAGGAATACCCACGGCCTTCGGGGACGGCCTCACTGGCAAGCTGTACCTGCTGGGGTTAATAGCCCAGTCAGGTCTGAGCAGGAAACAGCATCCACCCCACTTATTTCACGTGCTGGGGCTTAAATGAAGGGGTCTCTGAAGGTGAGGCTTGCAGAGAGCAGCAAAGAAAGAAAGCTGGCCCGTCTGTAAGCCTGACTGGACGGTGGTGACTGAGCTCAGGGACACCCCAACCGTGGGGGAGCTGCTGTCTCCGGGGAGCTGTAGTCACGAGGAAGTGGGCACAGAGAGACTTGGAACCGGGAGAGAGGGGAGGAAACACTCCGCTCTCACTTTTCCTTTCCCTCTGGTTTAACGGCCTGTGCTGGCTCCCATGACCCAGGCCCAGAGGCGCCCACAGAAAGCCTCCAGGGAGGTGCAGCCCAAGGGGTCGGCCTCCAACGGCACAGCGCTGTCTAGAGAAGGTGTTCAAAGGGATCTGGAGCCAAAAAAATAACCAACACAACAGCTAGTCTTTCTGAACCAAAACCAACAGCAGAGTGTGTGCCAAATACTGAATATGATTTCCGAATGTAATTTTATAAAACGCGTTACAAAGCAGAAAGTAAAATCATTTATGAATTTAAAGAATTATCTAACTAAAAAGTAATCACGTTTTATGAAATTGGGATTGTTCCGGAAAATCCAAGGTGTAGGATTATGCCAAGTTAAACTATTTTTCATTCAACATTCATTTTAAAATACTTTTCGGCCCTGGCCGGTGTGCTCAGTGGTTAGAGCGTTGGCCCGCGTACCAAAGGGTGTTGGGTTTGATTCCTGGTCAAGGGCAGGCACCTGGGCTGCAGGTTTGATCCCTGGCCCCAGTAGGAGTGCGTGAGAAGGCAACATTGTATGTGTGTCTCACATCAATGTCTGTGTCTGTCTGCCTCTCTCTCTCTCTCTTCCCCTCCCTCCCTACATTCTCTCTTAAAAAAAAAAAATCAGTGGAGAAAATATCCTTGGGTGGGGACTGACCAAAAAAAAAGGGAAAAAAAAATACTTTTCAAAGGTCTTTTTTGCCAGACACTGTAGTGTATTAGACACAAATCAAAGACGGGTTCTATTCTTAAAGATTGGAGAGTCTAGTGGAAAATAAAAACAAATTAGCAAATGTGATCTCTTATCAGCTCAGAGCAGCATGTCCCATTTGGGGCACTTCTTCACCCCTGACTCCGCCACATGGTTGTGACATCAGCTGGAACCTTACGGTGCCCTGCCCAGGCTGGGCCAAGTATGGTGCATCTCCTCTCTGGCCACAGTCGGGGTTCGATCCCAGATTTCCCCATGGAGATGTGGCAGAGCGCTCTTCCCTCTGCGGTCATGAGGCTGTAAGAAGACATGTCCAGAGCTGCCTGTAGCCCTTCTTCCAGGCTCGTCGGGACAACAAGAGCACGGAGACATGAGAGAGCACCATGAACCAGAGGACGCTGAAGAGACCGGAGTGGGTGTCCTTGAGGCCAGCTCCACCCTTGCCACATGAACCACTGCCCCACCTGCCTAGCGCTGGACTGAGCTGGGTTTCTGCCGCTCGGCATCAACAGCGCTCTAACTAATACAAGGGGAAAAAGTCAATACACTCTGAAGAGCGGCCGGTAGAGCCATGCGCAGGGTGCTGTGGAATTTCTGATCGGCTTGCCTATCCCAGCCCAAAGGCTCAGGCAAGGTTGTGGAACAGTGCAGGGCTCAGGTCTTTGTTAGAAGCAATGGCACTGTAATTATGCCATTTTCAAGAGCAAGAGTCTCAAACTTAAATGCCTACGGGGGCCTGGCAGGGACCTAACTGAGGACGTGGCCTGGTGGAGACCATAGGGCGCGGTGAGGACTGGGGTGACC